TCAATAAAACGCAGTAAATAGTTTGAGCGATTGATGTTCCTGAAGATGGAAATTCCTTGCATAGTGAAGGAAATTGTACATTATTCACATGTTCCATTGATGAAAAATTCAAAATATTAATATCTGTTTCAGGATTAAAATTAGAGTGATGTCTAGTGTTATGTTGAACTTTTTCAGAAATTATTGGGAATTTTGTTAAAGACGAATTAATAAGTTCGATTGATTTAGGAGGAATTGTATTTGCGTAATAACCTATACGTTCTCTTAATATTTCTCTATATTCAAGATTATCATTTTCATTAGTCATAGAATATTGTAGTGATAATTTATACAGAAAGAAAAATAAAATAATAAAAATGAAGCTAAATTCAATTTTAATAGTAATATGGAACATTTTAAATGAAATGGGGGAATAAAAATGAGGAAAATTGGGGGTATTTATACTGAAATATCTGTGGAAATAGTTCTGTTTCTATCTAACATTAGCAGCGAATCGATTTCACCCATTGCTACAAGTACAATCCCACCACTTGGAACCGGTTCGTTGAAGGTCATCCTTATACTTGTTGTACCATTCTTTATTAAATCAAACATCTCTGGCCCATTATCTTCCTGACTATTTGTGAGGTTAAATACGAAGAAGCAATATCCTGCATATGCATACCGAAACATTGATATACCGTTGCTTTCTAGTGATCCCGCGTATCCTATAGCCTCCTGCATGTCAAGATATATTCTAGCGTAGTTTCCTTTCGGAAAATCAAGGGAATAAGGGGCTGCTGGAAAAGTTACTCCCCCGGCAGTTATGGAAATATCTCTCAAATTAAAATGTTGAAAATAAAAAGGAGTTGTTCTTTGCCGTCCTACAAAATCTTTATTATCAACCATTCCCAATATAATTCTTCTAGGCACCTGATCCATCCATAGATTAGCATTAAATTCTGTTCTATTTTCACTGATGAATAAGGATTTGAGAGATGTTTTTCTTAACGGGTATCGTGCGGGCTTTATTTCGAGTTTTTTCGAGATATCAAAGGCTAGACTGTCCATTAGCTCAATCTTCTTTACATATAATTTACATGCCAAAATTTCTAAATGGTATTTTGGGGCTGTGTCCCAAGGAGCACTAAGTAGGAAACTTGATTCATTTGGTAGTAGTTCAATATCAACTTCACATTGGTTTACTAAATATCTTGGTTGATTACAAATATCAACATCCAGTTTGGCCATAAATTGTGCACTACGCGGATTTCCATCTTCGTCTAAAAATAATCTTTTCCTTGATTTAACTCCATAACCATTAGAATCAACTCCTGGGTATGTTTGTGTGGCTCCATCATCATAATATCCTGCCACTGAAAGGTATGAGTTCTTTACACTTTGTGGGTAGGTTAGTTCGTAGTCAAAAATACTTTTGTAAGCCAAGAGGGAATTCCCTTCAAAAACCTGTGTTCCATTAATATGCATGCGACAATTTTTCCATATTGTATGTCCTATAAGCTGCACGCTTGCCACATTATCATCTTTTCCTATGTCAACAAGTTTCCCATCCTTGTCTTCTTTCTTAATTCTAAGTTCAGTAAAAACATAAGTTTTGGACAAATCAATATAATTTGTGCTTGCGTGGATTTTGAAATGAAAAGGGGTGATATTTACTGGATTAAGTGTGAGTAATTCAATAAATGATGAGTTGCTAATACTAACATTTGTATGAGGAGTTTCGAAAAATGATAAAGCATTTGTTATTGCGTTGCCAGAATCGCGATCAATTTTTTGATGAGTAGACATTTTTATTTAATAAAGACCGAATGTATCTATTTTTTGACGTTTCTTTTTTAAGCTATGAGCAGGTTTATTACCAATAATTATTTGATGACTTTTTTCTTTTGAAAATGTTGAATGAGGTCTACGTTTTCTTTTGAGGTTTTTTATACTATTCCTCGCTTGCAATCCGGTTCCAAATTGTTTTGGCATTCCACCCTTTTCAAGTAATCTGTCTAATCCACGTTTTCCTTCACTAATCACTGTTTGTTTAAAATTTGGTTTAATTGCTTCCTGGTCATATTCTGGATTTCCCACACTTTCTAAAATTCTTCCACCTGTATCCAAAGCTTCTTTTGCTACAGCTGTTCCCGCACGTTTTGCATAAGGTAAAAGGAATCGCCAAAAATTTCTAAGTACATCTCCTACTCCTCCACCTGTTTGTCTTCCGTATCCACGCTGATAAGGGTTGAGTCCACGAAAATAGTAATAATTTTCATCAGTCCCTCCTCCTATTTGACTGATAGCTGTATGATGATCATCATATCCGATTGTACGCGGATCAAAGGGAATATGAACCATATTTAGTTTTAATAAATTTAAGTTATTTAGTGAAAATACAAAATTAAGCTGTCTAAATTTATCAAATAAATTTTTAATAGAAAAATTTTGGGATGAATTGTAATATAGAATAATTCAAATTATTTAATGGTGATCAAATTTTGATTAACAATGATAATTTATTACTTTAATAATAATTATAGGTTTTTATTAATGGAAGGTTAGACACCTAAATTGACATTTCGGAGTTTGGCATTTTGTCGTTTTGAAATTTTGAAATTTGACATTTTTAAATAATTGCTTAATCCCCTTTCTTTTTGAACTTCCACCCTTTTTTGCAAATCATTTTAAATTTTTTGTGAATTTTTGACAAAATATTTCTTCCACATTTTTTCATTAATTAATCTAAATTTTATTTACATTTAATATTTTTTAAATTTTTTTTGATTTTGAAATCCCCGCTAATTTTTAAAATTTGAATCCCCGCTAATTTTTAAAATTTGAATCCCCGCCACTTTTTAAATTTTGAATTCCCGCCAACTTTTTAAACTTGAAATTCCCGCCAAATTTTGAAATTTGGCATTTTGATTAAATCCCCTTACATTTGAACTTCCGCCCTTTTTTTTTAAATCATTTTATTTTTGTCAAAATTTTGTAATAATTTTTATTATCAATTTTATTTAATTTTTTAAATTTAATTTTTAAATTATTTTAATTTTATATTATTTACAAAATTTTTAAATTTTTTAAAATCCTCCACCCCATCCCTTCCCCCAAAATACACAAAGAAATTAATTTTTATAAATTAACCGATTATTTGTTTATATTTAAGTACACCCCTGTGGCCGAATGGATAAGGTTACCGCATACGAAAAAACACGACGGTGAAGGTTCGATTCCGCTTGGGGATTTTATTTTTTTAAATTTTATAAAGTGTCTTTATTATTAAACAAAATATACCCATTAAACCTTTTCATATTTTAATTATCACTTCCCACCCCTATCATTTATCAATCAGTCCCTTATACTTATCTTTGTACCTAATCACTTCTGAATCAATCAAAACTTTTCAATTTAATATTTCCCTTACATCTACCCAATAGATAATTGAAAAACCAAAAAAATTCCTTTCTTTATGACTCTCTTTTATTTTACCGCATTTTCACACCCCCCCCCCCCCCCCAAAACCTTTTTACTCTCTTTAATTTTACCGCAATTCCAAATATTACCTTAAAAATTTTATTTTACCCTCCAAATGTTGCAACCGACCACCCAGAAACCACAAACATCAAACCTGTCACTTCCCGCAAACTTCCACCAAAAAGCAATTAATCATTAATGATTAATTACCCTAATTAATCATGATTAATTACCCTCAAACCCTTCCAAAAACAAAGGGTTTGCGGCAAAGATCAAAAGAAAATACCCCCTATAGCCTCAGGTTTGATTGACAGGTGATCAAATGGGTGTAACGTTTGTAACGTTTGGGAGGGGCTTACTACTAAATTGGGGTAGGTGAGTGTAGGAGAAATTTACCCATAAAATATTTTACTACACAATTGGGAATTGTTGTGGGATATTTTGGAAACTTAATTCTCAACTGGGACAGTTGGGTGTGGGGACAATACACCGTCCAAAATCTACTGAGACAAAAGGGTGGTGCGGGAAAATTAAGTGAGACAAAAGCGTGGCCTTTGATTTGCCGACACTCATGGATAAGACAAAAGGGTTGGGCTTTGATTTAGGTTACTACTAGATTGGGGCAACTGGTATTGGGGAAAATACGTTCATAAAATTTCCACTTCACAACTGGGACATGATGAAAACTTACTTCTCAATTGGGGCATGTTGGTGGTAGGGTAAATACCCCGTCCGAAATGTCCCACTTCACAACTGGGACATTTTGGGGGGGGTTACTACTTACACACCTTCTAGTGTATGACGACCGGACCATAGGACATAATATATAGGTTTATAATTCCGGAACCTAACTCGATATTAAAAAAATTTTCAGGAACCGACAAAATTCACCTCATTCATTAATTCATCTACTTGTTCATTATTTTCACAATTACATAATTTCTTCCCAACTTCAAATATTTGTTTAATTTCATTGGATTTAATAAATAATTTTTCTAATAAAATTTTTATTTTTTTCAATCCCTCAATTTTTGTATTATCTACAGTTTTTAAATAATTTTGATAGTTTTTTATTGCTTTTAATTTATACATCAAGTCATAAGAATGAATCGTATGTTGTTGTTTACTTGTTTTGCCTATGTGGATAATTGGTATTTGAATATCTTCCTCTTTTTTGATTTTTTCTCGAAGATCAACCAATCTGTAGAAATTTAGTAAATTATTAGAAATAAATACTTTATAACGATTTTTGATTCGAAAACCTTCCAGGAAAAAAATTTTTGATCCCCGGTCAGATTTTGGAATCTGTCCAGCTTACGCGTCCAATCAACCTTTAAGCGTCCAATGAAAGGTGTATGCGTCCAAACAAATTTTTAAACGTCCATTGAACGTTTATTCGTCCAATCTACGTTAATAAGTACCCGGTTCTGCGTGTTATCCGAATGGACGCATAATCTTTGCAAGAGCTAAAATTTGTCTTTTCCATGCCTTGCCATGTTCTCAATGTGAGAATCCAACATTAAAAACTTATCAAAAAATTACCTATTTAATTTGCGTAAATTTTTTCTATGCTCGATATCAAAATAAAATTTGTCCTTTTTTGTAAGTAAAAGATTATCAACATCCTTCATTTTGAAGACCTTGCAAATATCATTTAATCTAGTCGTATATTTAACAACGTCTTTCCAGTTCGGTTTGAAATTTTTAAGGGAGAAAGAGTTTTGTTTCTTCAAGGACTCAATGAAGGATCCTTGTGTCTTTAAAGACCCCTGATTCTTCAAAGTCTCGTTGAAGGATCCTTGTGTCTTTAAAGAATTCTGTTTCTTCCAAGACCCTAGTTTCTTCAATGACTCATGTCTCGTCAAAGGCTCTTCTTTCTTGAAGGACCCTTGTGTCTTTAAAGACTCTTGTTTCTTCAAAAACCCTTGTTTCTTCCCAGACAATTGTCTCTTAAATGCATTGTATGCTTTTTGCCAAGGATTCTCTTTGACATCTTCTTCAACAACCACAACTTCTCCCTCCTCTTCGTTATCTTCTTCATTTTCAACACACACATCTTCCTTATTACTCAAAAATTTGCTAAACAATCTTGCCCTATTTGTCTTAAATTCATTGTCAGTATCATAATCTTTTAATCCACCCATAATATAATCTGGCAAGGAATCAAGAAATAATCCTTCAGGAATGTGATAATAAAGGTCCAAATCCCTCAATCTTCTCCCTTGATTTTTATAAAATCTTCTCTTGTAGTCTTCTTGTTCATCCAATTCTTCTTTTAATCCATTATCTAATACTTCTTCAAATTCACCTATCAACTTCTTTACTTCCCCTACTATTGCTTCTGAAGCTTTAAATAATTTTAATATTGTTTCATTTTTTAACTTTGATTTATTTTCTTTGTTGCCGTTTTCTTTGTCTTTATTCTGTTTATTTCCGAATAAATCCAACAGGAATTTTGTGCTTTCCAAACATGCTTGTTGAACATCGACGTGAACCTCGAATTCGACTATCAAATCGTTGATACTGTATTCCTTTTCCGCTAAAAATTAAAATTCAAATACTCCGAAAATGTTTAAAAATGCCCAATATCCCCATATTATTTAAAAATGTCAACTACCGCGAAAATGTTTCAAAATGTCAAAAACTCAAAATATTCCAAAATGGCAGAATCATCGAAAATGTTTCAAAATGTCAACTGCCTCCAAAATGTTTAAAAATGCCCAATATCCCCATATTATTTAAAAATGTCAACTACCGCGAAAATGTTTCAAAATGTCAAAAACTCAAAATATTCCAAAATGGCAGAATCATCGAAAATGTTTCAAAATGTCAACTGCCTCCAAAATGTTTCACAATAACCGAAAAATATTTTAAATGTCAAAAACCTCTAAATTAAAAAATGCCCAATACCCCCAAAACATTTCAAAATGTCAAACTCACCAATCCACGGTTCTGTTGGCTTCGTAGAGCTTTTGTTACTAATCGTAGTAGAAGTTGATTCATTTTTCCTCGGAGGGATGCTTTCTTCTTGCTGTGAAGCTGTTTCAAACTCGATATTGTCGAATTCTGGTGACACTTTGTGGGACGATTTACAGTATGAGATGAACAAAACAATTAAAATAAAAACTCTCATTTTCACTTTTTTTTTGAATATATGTAAGTTGTTGAATAATTAGCGTTAAACAGAGAGGGTAATTAAAAATAAAAAAAAATTCTTAAGGCATTAAATAAAAAAATTTAAAAAGTCAATGAGTGAGAGGGAATGTCAATGATTGAAAGTCAAAGAATGAGAGGGGAGGAGAAAATCATATGTCTAATAAAGGGCAAGAAAAAATTTTTTATTGACAGAATTGACAGGAGGGATGAGAGTGAGGGGGGTGGGGGATTTTTAAAGAGACAAGGCAAATAAAGGAGGGGAGAGGGGAGAGCAATTAAAGGAAGGAGGGGGGATTTTTATATAGAGAGGCAAATAAAGGAGGAGGATAGAGGGCAATAAAAAAATTAAAAAAAAATTTTTAAAGAAAAAAATCAATAGTGCAAATTCAATTAAAATACAGACTACATTTACGCGCTTAACTTTTTTTTAAAAAAGTCGGCGGCTTTGATCTTGTAAAAGTTGTTGATAGTATTTTCTATAGTGTGTTGATTTGTGTGTTGATTTGACTCTCTTTTCGGGAACATTAAACTCTCATTCTAATGTGAAAAATAGATGGATCATCTTTCTTAAGAAGGGAACACTCGATATCTTGGGTAAGACCTCTGAAGCTTTGCTTAACTAAAAGAAGTGTTGATTGTTGGAGAGTAAACTGTAGAGAGTGGACTGGGAACTCGTAAGAGAATCGAGATCTCGAAAATGATATCGATTCTCGATAACCTAGATTTCTGATCGAGATCTCGTCTCGGCCCGGTCTTTAGTCTCTCTCAATTTTAAATCTCTCTCTCAATCTTTCTCCCTCTCCGGTCTCTCTAGCAATTTTACCGTTACAATTTACTGTAAATAATATGAAGGTTTATTCTGGAGGAATTCATCTGAGGAGGACAGACACTTGACTAGTAAGGTTGGCGGATCCGGATATCAGTATCCGAAAAAAGGCCGGATATCCGAAATTTTCAGTTCGGATATCGGATCCGGATATCCGAAGAATTCCAAGTATCCGCCAACCTTATTGACTAGACCTTGAAAAAATTTTTAATTCTAACACTAAAAAGAATTATAAATGTCTGGAGGGACTAATAAAAAATTTAAAAAGACTGTCAAAAAAAAATTTTTCCTTTAAATTTAAAATTTAATTTAAATTTAAAGGAATAGGGAAGTGAAGGAAGTAATTTCTTTTATTGTCTATAAAATTTAAACAGACAATAGAAAAAAATTTTTCCTTTAATTTATTCATGCCTTCGTCTGCCCAAATAATAAGCCCAATACAACACATTAAAAAAAGAAAAGGCCAATGGGAAGAGGAAAAATGACCATTGATCAATTCGATGTCCTCTAGACAAATATTTGTTTTGTTGTTTTCGTAAGATTTTTTTGGCCATCTTTTTCGGCATGTTTGGGAGAGAATCACGTCTGACAATCTCATCGAGGAGAGATTCACTCTGTAATTTGAATTTAAATTTTAAAACATGAAATATTTCAAAATGTCAAATTTCAAAATGGTAACTTCCAAAAAATATTTCAAAATGTTAAATTTCAAAATGGTAACTTCCAAAAAATTTTTCAAAATGTCAAATTTCAAAATGGTAACTATAAAAAATATTTCAAAATGTCAAATTTCAAAATGGTAACTTCCAAAAAATATTTCAAAATGTTAAATTTCAAAATGGTAACTTCCAAGAAATATTACAAAATGTCCAACCCCAATAAAAATTCAAAATGTCAACAACCGAAAAAATTTCGAAATGTCAACATGCCAGAAATCTTTCAAAACATCAATTTCAACTAAATACCTGTCTCCCACTAGAACCAAAACTCTCATTTTCACCATACTCATCCCCAGCATCAACCTGATGAGAAGGCTTACGACGTACACCAGTTATAGCCCCAACATTGCCCCCAAAATCAGCAGCTGTTTCAGCCAAAGCTTTGTTTAAACAGGCCAAATCAAAGAGAGATCCGACACCCACACTAAATCTGATTGAGCGCCGAAGCATTTTTTTATCCTATAATTTATAAATCATGGATGGAATACAAGATGGAATACATAACTTGTAAGAGATAAAAGCCATTTCCAATAATGAGGCAAATATGAATGCAATGCACACAAACATAAAGACGTCTATTGGCTTAATTGAGAAAATTTAGAAATGGTCATAGTGTGAAATGCTCCCTTATTTAACCTACCTTAACATAAGAAACTGGAGGTAACGAACTGATAATATTGCCAAACTAGTTGGATTAATTAAAATTATTATCAGTCAAGATTACCTGAACACATAGAGAAATCAACGTGTTAACCGATAAGATAACTCGTGCAGATAAAGCTTTTAAAGAAATACAGAAAGCGATCCAAGACAGGAAGACATTAATGTAGGTGTTGGCATAAACCTTGAGGGTATTTTTGATGATTTTTTAACGTCGAGTCGAACCTCATTATATGATACTCTTAGGATTGGGTACCTCTTAAGAAGAGAAATCCAACCGGGGAGCATTAGCTTACTAAGTAGGGGGTTTAAGAAAGAAGGTGTGGCTGATTGCCGTTAGCCCTGTCGGTAGGGCACCAGCCAGTCATGGTAGCAATAACATACAGGAATGGAGAGAACTCCTAAGTGATACCCTTCATTATACTCCCCCCCCCCGCTCTACCCCACTATAAGCTAGTCTTTTACGTACCTTAGGGTATCTTATAACTAGGTCCGACTTCTATATGAATTTCATACCTGTAGGATATAATACCCATAACGACGTCTAAAACCCATTTCAAGTGTTAACCTATACCATTCTCCTGCTTTGTAATACTGCAAAAAATCCAAAATAAATTTTAAACAGTCAAAACTACTTCTGTGTGCTTAAACAATTTTGTATGTACCAATTGATGGTCTGAAGCACTTATTTCTTCAAATTGTAAAGTTAAGGCTGAAGGCATCCAGTCAATAGTAACGGTAGCGGTGTTGTAAGAATAGGACTCGAAAACTAACTGGCATCGGGCAGAATCCATAGGAAAATCAGAAATTTGGAATTCGCACGGGGCTTCAACTTGGACCTTAACTTTGAATTGTAAAATAACAAAATCAGAATAAATCAGAAAAATGAAAAATAAAAAAATTCTGAAAAATCAGAAATATCAGAATTCTGAAAAAAATCAGAAAATATCAGAATGCTGAAAAAATCAGAAAAATCAGAATTTCAAAAATCAAAATTTAGAATCATCAGAATCAGAATTCTGATAAACCAGAATTTTTATTTTAGAATTTAAATTCTGATTAGAATTTTTATTAAAAGATTTAACCCTATAATTAAGCCAAACAGTTCCGTTAGCTAACAACATAAGCAAAACATTGGGCTTAGGTGACGCATGAACTCTTGATGATTTTGTATTAACCAAACACACATTGGGTGACCAGAGATGCTTTTCAAAAGTCTCGTCAAATGAGAGATTTTTTCGGCAAGGGTCTAAATGAGAGAATTTCAAGCGAGGATCATTCCAAAGAGCACTGAACCAGAGGTCAGCAGAGACTAAAAATTAATTCAAAATAATTTATAAATTAATTAAGTAGACCGAAGTTGCTCAAAACTGAGAGTTCATTAATATCCTGTATAGTTGCTTCGACTTGGACAGCAACAGGGTTAGCTGGAGCTACGCTTCTGAAAGTTTTTTTAAATTTTATTTTGATTTTTTATTTTATTTTTAATTATAATTCTGATTTTGTGTTTTAGTTTTTATACTTCTGATTTGTATTATTTAAAATTAGAATTGTAATTTTAATGTTTAATCAATCAAGTAAACAAATTAATAATGATTCTGATGTTTATTATTTTACAAATTGTAAATTCTGATATAATTTTAAAGTTACAAATTGTAATTCTGATTTCATTTTTATTTCTACAAATTGTAATTCTGTTTTAATTTTTATTTTACAAATTGTAAATTCTGGTTTATTTTTATTTTACAAATTGTAATTCTGATTTTATTTCATTCTACAAATTGTAATTCTGATTTTTCTTTTTTAAAAATTATAATTCTGATTTTTATTATTTCACAATTTGTAAATTCTGGTTTATTGTTTTCTACAATTTGTAATTCTGATTTACCTATTTTTTACAATTTGTACATTTAATTTTATTTGTATTCTACAATTCACATCTAATTGTAATTCTGATTTTTATTTCTTTACAAATTGTAAATTCTGTTTTTTTATTTTTACAAATTATAATTCTGATTATAATTATTATTCTACAACTTGTAAATTTGTTTTACTTATTTTTTACAATTTGTAGATTCTGATTTAATTATTATTTTACAAATTGTAAATTCTGATTTTTATTTTTGTGTATAATTTATCCTGAATATTTTTGTTTTGCTATAGCCTCGTAATTCTTTCGTAATTTTTTAATAATTCTGATTTATTACCTGCTATAATTCTGCATTAAAATTTGAACAATTCTTTCTGGCCGCATATTTGTACATTTTCTTCTGTTGTTTAGCAATTTCAATTCTTCGGATTCTTCAGCTTGAAGAATTATCAAAAATAAATAAATTATAGAATATCTAAGCATTTTTTGTGTTGATATAATCAAAATTTTTATAATATATTTTTTTAAAAATGTTTTTAAAATATAAATATTTTTGGGGAAAAATATGCTCACAGCTTGACGCTTTTTTAGGTTATTTTTCATAATATTTTTGTGGCAATTAAATATTAACTTTTTTTTAATAGTTAGTACCTTTAAGAGTTTATTTTAATTTGATAATAATTGGTTGTTTTTTTTAATTTTTGAATTTTTTTAATAAAAAAGGGAAAAATTTTAACTAATTTATAAAATTTTTAATTCGACTCTTGTTATAATTCACATCCTTGGGTCTAAAAGTAAATCATATATTAAAATGGAGATATCACTTAAGCATATTCCCCTACAACCTGTGATTTAAAATATAGAAATCTCCGAACACTTGATTAAAGACTTGGGAGTCTGCGTGGGACGGAGTTGCAAATCTAGTAAAATTTCATCTTAGATCATCAAGTCTCATTCGAGACTTTCGCGTTTCCGTCTCGATAATATAAGAGATTATTTTTGAGATTAATTAAGATTTTTAAAGATTTAATTATGTATAAGGAGATGATTTTTAAATTATTTAACTATTTAAAATTTTTGCTTAATTCTTGTCAGAATATTTTTAATTTTTATTCTTTCATCTACAACTTGAACCAAAAATAATTATTCCTTACTTTATTTGGAATAAAAATTCTCATGGGAAAATTGTTCCCGTTCTCCTTCCTTTTCTGCTAAATTTATTTTTAATTCATTCATAACGATAATAAAAATATTTTTAAATGGCTCCAAAAATAGAGAGCAAACTACTAAAAATTTTAATTTACTTCAAGTAAAGCCAAAAATTTTATTTTTAAAATTATTTGTGATTTCTATATCTATAAATTTTTCTATGTCATTTGTTAATCTAACCTCAATTATTCACCAACCTTTCTTTAGATTTCCAAGAATTTTAAGTATATCGGATTTGACGGGTTTTTGAGAATTGAATTGTTGTTTGTTGACCCAAATTTTGTAGGAAATCTTTGTAGGAGATCTCTAATTTTCCTGAAAAACAATAAGTACTTTTTGCAGTTTCTTCCCGTTCTCAAAGAATTCCGTGAACAAGGACCTGACCGTTTTACATTTTCCGATCTCTACATCGAAAAAATTATTTCCAAAATGGTAACTTAACAAAAAATTCCAAAAATAATTTTTTTTTCAGTAAATCCTTTCAATTATCCTAAATTAAATTTAAAAAATATTTTAAGTAGTCCATTTTTACTTTTTTTTCCTTCAATTTATTCCATGGTCCGCATGACCGATTTATTTTTTTTATTGAGAGATAATTTTGGAAAGAAGCGCAGAGTTCCCGCAACTTTCCAGGCTTAATTTTTTCTTTATTTTTTAAATAAAATTTAATTTAGCCAATTATTTAAGCTCTAACGATTTTCTTGTTGGAAAAGGAGAAACTTTTTCCTTACTTTTTTCCTTAAAATTTTTTAAAATCTGTGTTTAACTCCGACAATTTCGTCTTAGTTCAAAATACATTTAAATTACCCTAATTTCTGGGCATAATATTTTTATAGACTTGTGTGTAATTTGTGTGGTTGTAGCATTGAACATAAAAAATAAATTTCCGATTTTTGGAATTGGTAATCGGGTCGGTTTGATCTCTAGTATCTAGTGAGGACACATGTCTTTTTTCAATTCTCAATTTTCTTCATTTGTTTGTTGTTCGGGTTGTCGGTTCGGGAATCGAAACCAATCAAAGAACCGAGGATTTTTCTCTCAAGTTCTTCGGATCAACTCAGGTTATCTGATGATTTTATGTCAATTGACAATCTCGATTTGTCTTGGAGTCAAGCCTTGGCCCTAAGGATTTATATGTGCTAAGCAAATTAATTTCATAATTAACAATAGAATTTTGTAGTCATTAAACATTTTAAATCTCATCCAAAAAAGGATTTTCTATATTAGGATGCATAATGTGTGATGCATAATGCATAACCCGTAACCTTTCTGCGGTTAAAAAAAATTTTTTTTATTTAAAAAAATTTTTTTTGCTTGGCGTTAAATCAAATTTTCTTCGCTCCTCTGACAACAAAATTTATAGTTGAAAAAAAGAAAACACAAAAATCTTTTCAATAAAAAAAAAGAATATCCATAAAAGCCAAAATTGGATTATTTACTAGTTTTTGAGTCACTCTCGCCTATCCTTCCCTAAATCTTTCATTATTCTTATACTTTTCTCTCCTCTATTTTTTAATAAAATATATATGTAAATAAATATGTAATAAGGGTAAAAATAGAGTAATAAAGTGAGATAACTCCTCAGAACTTTTTTTTGCTAAATTTTTTAATGATAATAACATTTTTTCATGTTCGGGACTTACGCCCGCTGGGTCTGGGACCATTCTTTACCCTATTCCTCGAAATTTCTGAAAGTTATAGCCAATTCTTAAAAATTTCAGAAAACCATTTTAACTTTCAGAACTTTCGAGGAATATGGTAAGGAATGGTCCCAGACCCAGTGGGCGTAAGTCCCGAACATGAAAAATTATTTGGAACCATACCCCAACTTAGCAACACCAAGAAAATCCAATTATTTTTTGATTGGCCGCATAAAAGTTTATTGAACGCATAATCTAGACTAGCACCAAAAATTTCTAGTTAAAAAAATTTTTTTCTTAACGTTCCAAAATTCTTTTTTAAGCGTTCTTCCTTGCCTTACTAAATATGTTTTACATTATAAAGGGCAACTTTCCTCATAAGAAATTTTTTATTTTTATGATCTTGAATCCATAAAATTATTTATGGGCCTTATGACAAGTTCTGTCATAAATTTGAACGGAAAGTACACATTATAGGGACAAGTTGTCTTCATAAAAAATTTTTTTGTCCCCATAAAAAATAAAATCAGACTAGACAAACAACAAATTTTATAGGCTTTTCCTTTTTGTGGTGGTTGTTATTTATAGGAGAAAGAATTTATAAAGGGGACTAGGCCGTTAAGAGAGGTCGTTAGGCGCGGGAGCTTAAAAAATCTGAACTTTTTTCAAAACCACTCTTCATATGTTCTTCTACGTTTTCTAAAATTTCAGAATTTTTATGCCAGAATTTCACAAGTTGTGGCCAGAAATGATGATTAAATGCCTCATTTTTCTGGTTTATTGACCATAACTTTAGAAATATGTGAGGAAAAATTCTGAAATTTTCGGAGGATGTAGGCAAGATTGGCATAAAATTATATGAAAAATTTCAAGAATTTAGGTTTCTGCTAAGTAGCAATTTTAAGCCTCGCGCCAAACGTTAATGCGCGCCTAAACAACCCCTCCCACTTATAATTGCCTAGATAAAATATTCATTTTTTATGATAAACTGTTGAATATCCCCAACCTAAAAACAATTAAATATTAGAAAAAATAAACTTTTTTTTCTGTTTAAAAATTCATAAGCAATAAGTATACACTAATATTGCCATCCATCAAAATTATTTTTTAAAAATTTATTTTTCCCCCAAATTTTTCCCGAAATATTTTTAAAAAAATAGGAAAAGGTTTTTGATGTTTTTATGTGTTTGTTGAGTAAATTAAAAAAAAAGTCAGCCGGTGCCGTTTCCGAAAAAAATTTTTTTTCTTCCTTTAACTGACTTGGTATTTATTTTTAAACAAATTTTGTAAAAAAAATCTAGGCAAACAAACCGGAGGTAGATATAAACTGACACGTCAAGAAGCTTGACTCAATTTGAGGTAAAAGGGGAACATTAATATATCCTCTCATCCTTCACTTTATTATATTTTTGGAATGCCTAAAAGCGACCCCACACACGGTGTCATGGATATCTTCCACGTTTTTAATAATAATTATTATTATTCTCACGGCTATTTATGCTTGTTTTTATTTTGTTTATAAAAAAATTTTTGAAAAATAAAAAAAAAATTTTTTTTTCTTGAAAAATAAAAAAAAAATAAAAAAAATTTCAGAAGAAAAGTTTCAGAAAAAAAGTTTAAAGAATTATTTTAAGATTCATCAAATAAATAGGAAATTCTGGAAAAAAAATAAAAAAAAATTTTTTCTGGAATTTTATTATAAACTTAAAATTATTCCATATTTTTATTTTTTTTCCATTATTTTAAACTTTAAAATACATTATATATTTCCAAATGCTTCAGGCTTTATTTTTATTTTTCATAACGTATGCTTTGTCATAAAACCAAATGTCTCCTTAAACAAATAAAATAAATAATGAAGCATTTTATTAGGTTTGAGTAAAATATTGTTTTAATTAGAGTGTAAATACTATAAATTATTTTAAAATTTTTAAATATTTATTTTTCAAAATATTTTAAGGATTAAAATAAATTTGTTTTAATTTCATTTTTTATAATTTATTTAATAAATTTATAATCTCTGTACAAAGTTTATGTTAAGTAAAGTAAAGCAAATAAAGATAAACTTGAAGCAAAAATTAATAAACTTGAATTAAAATAAACTTGAATTTTTAAGATCAAGCTCAAGTTTTAATAAATTTGAATTAAATAAACTTGGATTAAATGAAATACATTTGAATTGTAAAATTGTAAATTTAATAATAATGAAAAATAAACTTGAAACAAAATTTGAAAAATCAACTTGAATTGCAATAAATAAATAATTTTACACTTCTATTTTACAAATGTTTATTTAATGAATTTAATGTTTTTAAATTTTAATAACAATTTTAATTTTGCTATTGTGTTTATTACTTAATATACATAAGTATGATTTTAAGTTTCAGAAAAAATAAAAAAATATTTATTAATGAATTTATCAACATCCTTATTCACCAATAATTCTTCTAAATTGCCTAATTCCTTGGGAGAATCACCATTTCTTGCGGATATAAATTCTTTAGAAGATGAACAATGGGAGGATGAGAATGAAAGACCCGACGAGTCGGAAATGCAAACTAGAAGAACTGTGAAGCTTGTATTTTGTATTGGATATGCAATTCTATTTTTGCTGGGAACTCTGGGCAACGGGTAAATATAAAATAAAATAAACTTGAAGCAAAAGGAAGAATAAAATCGAAATAATAGAAACAAGTTTTAAGATCAAACTTGAGTTGTGAACTTAAAAAATAAACTTGAATTTTAATAAAAAAATAAACTTGAAGCATGCTTCAAGTTTATTAAATTCATTAAACTTATATGTAATAAAATGAAAATAAACTTGAATTGTAAACTTAAAAACTTGAGTTTTAATAAAAAATAAAATTGAAGCATTTTTGAAACTTGAAGCATTTCAATAAACTTGAAGCATAAACATTAAACTTATTTAAATTAGGTTAGTTATCGTTATGATTGGAAACGTTTTGTCTACATTAAATAGAAATCGTCAAAAATCAGGTGCCGGTCCAAGTAGAAAAATGCTTGCTCAAGCTAGTGCTGTGCACGTTTTTATATACGTTTTGGGTAATAAATACTTTTTTAAAATAAATTGTAAATTTTTAGGTTTATCTATTGTCGATTTATTTGTAATTATGCACTTACCTATGCTCATTTTTGAAATGTTAGAAGGCCAGTGGATATTTGGGGGAGGAATGTGTAAATTATACTGGTTCGGCGAGTCTGTAAATAAATTGCTCAGTTCATTTCTTATGACAGTAAGTTGAATTACCAACTTTTTTACAATTAAAATTTTAAGATCAAACTTAAGTTTACAAATAAAACTTGAATTTTATTGCATTTTTAAGATCAAGCTTAAATTATCAAAATAAACTTGAATATGCAACAATTTAAGATCAAACTTAAGTTTTATAAAATAAAACTTTAATTTTAAAATATTTTTAAGATCGAACTTAAGTTATAAAAATTAAACTTTATCTTATATGCTTATAATTGTAAAATTGTAATTTTCAAATCTCTTCAAGATTTATAAATTTTACAATTGTAATTACAATTAAAATATTTTTTTTATTTTCTCACTTAAAGCTTATTTAGATTTATTATCTTAAAAATTTAAAGGTGTTAAGTTGGGATCGTTTTATGGCCGTCTGCTATCCAATAAGGTCAATAGGAATGCGGACAAACACAGTTGCAATTTCCGTTTTAGCTAGTTGTACCTTTATTGCCACACTTCTTCTCTACCCCGTCCTAAAAGAATCACAAGTTTACCAAGTTAATAGACTTACGGGACTGAGACTTGTTGATGAAGAAATTATTGCTGCTTCACAACAACATGATCTTCCTAGTAATTATTCTTTTACACCACCACAACCACACCAAATTGTGCTCAAATGTGTGTTTGATACAAATTCACCTTTCTTTATGTTATACACATTTACTGTTGGATATTTAATTCCGGCAATGTTAATTACTTTCTTTTATGCACAGGTAAGGGATTATATAGTAAAATATAAACTTGAATTGTAAAATACAAATAGACTTGAATTGTAAACTTAAAAAATAAACTTTTTAGTATATACAGAAAAAATAAACTTGATTGTAAAATTGTAAATTGATTTATAGGAAAAATAAACTTGAATATTATAATTGTAAACTTGAAAAAAAGAAAAATAAATAAACCTGAATATTTACAAAAATAAACTTGAATTGTAAACTTAAATTTTTAAATTAATTTCCAACAAAATTAAACTTGAAATAAAACTTAAAATTACAACTTGGTTATTTAACTTTATAAATTGCAATTTTACAATATTTCAAGCTTATTTTCTAGTTTTACAATTTGTAAAACTTAATGTTTATTAATTTCAAGGTTATAATTAAATTGCGTAATGATGCACTGGCAATACGCAAACATTCTGAAGGGCATATGCATGCACTTAGTCCGTCCGTGTCTTCTGCAAGACTACACAAAGTTACTAAAAGAATTGTTGCTGTTATTCTATTTTACTTTTTCTGTTAGTTTATTTCAACTTTTTTAATTAAAAAAATGCCAAAAAAAAATATTTTTTGAAGGTTGGACACCTTACTGGCTTTTAAATATAATGTCTCAATTTGGCTTGATTGTTGTTCGTAATTTTTTTAAATTAAAAAAAAATATTTTAACACAAAAATTAATTTTCTGATAAAAAATAAATTGTAAAAAGTGGCTCAGTTGTGTGCGAAAAGAATCACAAAGCTCATTACTGCAGAAGCCTTTTTGGGAATTCACATCATCGCCACAATAAAATTTATATAAGGGAAAATCAAGAACACTAACCACTCGACCACAGAGGACATAGGCAAATAATTAAAAAAAGACTAATAAAAACTAGTGTGTAAATGATCAAAAAAATAGTTGAAATTTTGAAAAAAATTTTTTGAAGTGTCTAAAAGATGTTTAAAATTTTAGAAAAATTTTCGAAATTATTTATCAAATTAAATTTTATGAGTAATTATTTAAAGGTCAGTTGGTCAACTCTAACTCTAAGCTCCGTTTTCTTTGCTGCCCATTTTCTCGTTTGCTTCAACTCCGCTGCTAATCCTGTTTTATATGCTTTAATTAATCGAGAATTGAGACAACAACATGCCCAAGCATTTCAGAAAAGAAGGAGATCATTACACTTGATAACAACAAATAATACAACAGCAATGACTGACAAAGAGTAAATTAATTTATAAAAATTACCTGATAGGTTCCTGGGATGAGCGTGGTTTCTGGGATAAGGACAGAAGTGAGTCGGAATTCCAATTTCCGACTTCCAATTTCCGAAAAAATTTTTGATTTACGATTTCCGAGTTCCGAAAAAATTTTTGATTTACGATTTCCGAGTTCCGACTTTTGAGCCATTTCCGATTTCCGACAGTTCCGATTTCCGACACCTCTGACTGTTCCGACCCACCTCTGGATAGGGGAAACATAGGTCAAGTCCCTCTAGTCCTTTTGGGGGAGGTTTTAATCATTTTATATTATTTGCTCCAGTCTGAATTCTCCAACTATTGCCAAACTAAAAGAACATCGGTTGGCATCGCTAGGTTGCACAGATGATAGCCGACTTATGCTTTTGGGTAATGGATTAATTAATGGGCAACACCTAGAAAATGGACAACAGCTTGAAAAGAGGTTGAGAAAATTTTTTTTAATTTATAAAAATGTTTTCTTTCAAGATCAAGCTCATTTTCCCATTCAACACCTCCAATGTTTGCCGGATTAACCAGCAGATTCTCCCAACTTCGCCTACTTTCCCATTTTGGAAGTAGCCAATTATTAAATATTGCTGGAGAAGATAAACAAGAAGAAAAACAAATATTCAAAATTGAAGAGAAAAAAATTGTAAAAAATGAAAATGATTTATCAAAGCAGAAAAAATCTGTCCCAAGTTGTGGGGATAGTGATGCTTTTCTTTAAATTTTATTTTAAAAATTATTTAAAATTTATTTTTGCTACAAATAAATATTGATATTAATTTATTTGAGTATAAGTGGAGAAATAAGGATACTTGATAATCTATGCTTAAGCTTATTTTATTTTCAAGTTTGTTCTTAAGTTTATTAAATTTATAATTCTTAATCAAGTTTATTTATTTTTTATTTTGTATGACTTAAGACTAAAATTGAAAATAAAATAACACAAGGGAAAATAAATAAACTTAAGAACAAATCTAATTAAAACTTAAGCTTATTTTCAAGTTTAAACTTAAGTTTATGTTTTAATTTTATGTTTGTTCTCATTCAAGTTTATTCTTGTGTTTATTTTTTATTTTTAAGTTCAGTCTTAAGTTTATTTATTTTAAGTTTGTTCTTAAGTCTTATCAATTTAATATTAAATCAAAATTTTAAATAATTATAAGTTCATATGGTAAAATTATTACTAATTATAGTTATTATCAAGTTTAAGCTTAATTGTACTTGTTTATTGAATGCTATATTTTCTTTCGACAGCCACCAGCTTAATCCTGCTTATTTCTTTTACTCAATCTCTCTTTCGTTTATTTTTCTTGTCCTCTGGCAAAAGTTAACTCAATGGCCAATTTTGAGTGTTTTCCAAGTGAGGGTGGAAGGAAAGGCTTTTTAAGTTTCTCTTTTGCAAACTTAATGGCTGTTTGCTGGTGAAAGCTAAAATATATCAATACTTTTAGCCTTTCTCTTTTGTTTATTCGACAACTAAATTTTGATTGTTTGACCATTATTTGAAGTCAAATTATTAAAAATAATGGGTAATACTCGCTCAGCACTGGGGGACCTACATTTATTTTCAAAAGGAGGTGTTTTTACATCTGAACAGCTTGATGAATATCAGGTTTGATGAGATTACTGGACCATTAAGACCACTAATTCTTTTCGAAATTGGCGAAGTTGGCTCGCCCTCTATATCCAGTCTCGCCCTAACAAAAACTCCTCACAACGATCATTCCCAGCGGATTTACCGTATTTACTCGATTAATTCCCCTGGGGAATTATTTTTTCAACCTAGCCGTGGCATGTGGAATTAATAGAGGGTGGGGAATTATTTGAGGGTGGGGAATTAATCGAGTAAATACGGTATACAACCAAATCCCAACCCCAAAAGAGTATAGCCTATCCTATTAACTAATCCAAGTGTACGGGGTATATATGAGAATGAAATTGATAATTTTATTAATTATAAGGATTGCACATTCTTCACTAAAAAAGACATTCTTCGCCTTTATAAACGTTTTCATGCTCTTAACCCCGAAAAAGTGCCTGGAAACATGCAAGGGAATCAAGCTTCACTTGTTAAAATGACGTTTGAGGAAGTTGGAAGAATGCCTGAACTTAAGGTTTATCTTAACTGATCCTTTATTTTGATGAGATTACTGTAAATTTTACTAAAGGAGAATCCTTTCCGTCGAAGAATTTGTGAAGTATTCTCAGAGGATGGCTGTGGAAATTTAACTTTTGACGATTTTCTCGATATGTTTTCTGTATTCAGTGAAATGGCTCCTTTACAATTAAAATTGAAATATGCCTTTAGAATATATGGTGATTTAGAAAAAAAAATTTTTTTTAATTTCTAAATCATTAAACAATAGATTTTGATGGGGACGAGTTTCTGGGACGTGAGGACCTAAGACAAATGATTGATGCACTTACAAGGAAAGAGGTAGAACAAATTTTTAGGTTAAAGAATTTTATTTATAAGCCAATAGAAAATGACTTGGAAGTTAGGAAAAAATTTTAAAAATAGAAAGAATTTTAGAATGGTTGCTTAACTTTTCCCCTTCAACAGGATAGCTAAATACTTAAAATTAAATTTATTTTAAAATTATCAAAAAAATTTTTTTAATTAAAAGATGAGCGACGAAGAAGTAGAATTCATCATAGACCGTATTATTGAAGAAGCAGATCTGGATGGAGATAAAAGAATTTCCCAGGCTGAGTTCGAACATGTAGTGTCTCGTTCACCTGACTTTGTGCGGACATTCCATATCAGAATATAAAATTTAAAATTCTGATTTCTTTCACAATTTTAAATAAATAATATTGTTATTCTGGTTTTAAAATAAAATTTCTAATTTTATGAATAATGCTTCCCATTCTCTGAAATCCTGAGGAGGGTCAGACTTCCGACTTCCAATTTCCGACGTTTTTTTCCTTCCGATTTCCGAAAAAAATTTTTGATTTCCGATTTCCGAGTTCTGACTTTTGAGCCAGTTCCGATTTCCGGCTCTTCCGATTTCTGAGACCTCTGACTGTTCCGACCCACCTCTGCTCTGAGTCATCGAAATAATTTTTTCAATATTAAAAAAATTATTTCTAGGTCACTTTTCCGCATATACATACAAGTCTTCTAAATAATAAATTCTTTCAAGGTTGCGTAATTGTTTTTTGTTTTTACCACACTTTTTTTAACAAGTAAAAAGTTGTTTGGTCAGCGAGGGGATGACCTCGAATAAAAATAATGGAACGTGCCAGTCAATTTTATTTGGAAAAAATTATTTTCCTTAAAGTTAGATTCATTTTAGCATTGTTCACTTTATTTTTGTTCATTTATTCATTGTTTCAAAAATAAATATAGGTGTCCAATATAGCTTTGAATATTTTTTTATTTATCGTTATAGACCTGCCCTCGTGTCGACGCAGAAGACCCACAGACAGAAGACCCAAGGACAGAAGAACCACAGACAAAAGACCCACAGACAGAAGACCCACACGGACAGAATACCCACAGACAAAATACCCACAACTTTTTTGTTTTACATTTTTTAAATTGCTGTTGTTAGTTCTGTTTTCCTTAATAAGAGATTGATCCAACAACGGGAAAGTTGTTTCAATATTAGGGAAGGTTGTTCTAACAATCGGGAAGTTTGTTCCAACAACGTGGATGTTATTTTAACAATGGGGAATCTTATTGCAACAACGGGGGAGCTTGTTTAATGAAGAGGGATCTTGATTTCCCGGATTTTCGGGATTTCGTCCCGGAAAATCCGGTCCATGTCGTTTAAAAAAATCAGATAAAGCGATCAAGGATATGCAAGTACATCGGGGATCTTTGGAATAGTAGATTAGTTAATTATTTCTGAGTAAATGGAGGGATATCGGTGGATATAAGCGGATTAGTGGAATTATAAAATCTTAAAAAGTTTACATCCTTTAAATTCCCTGACATATCCGATTCACTTGTTAAGATCCATAAAATTTAACGGTAACTCATCCATAAAATTTAACGGTAAAAATTTTATTGGTTAACTTTAGAATTAATTTTGTGTTTTGAAAAATGGAAATCTCTTTCAGAAATTTCAAGAAAAATTTTCTAAAGTTTTAGTTAAAAAATTTTCTTGTGGGTCTTTTGTCTGTGGGTATTCTGTCCTTGTGGGTCTTCTGTCTGTGGGTCTTTTGGCTGTGGTTCTTCTGTCCTTGGGTCTTCTGTCTGTGGGTCTTCTGTCACTACGCCACCTGCCCTTGATGATTTTACAATGTAAATGTAAACTTTGTTTTAAATTCAAGTTTAAACTTATATGAGAAATTTAAACCTAGTTTAAACTTAATAAATTTAAATAAACTTGAAAATATAGTAAATTCGAGTTTAAACTTGAAAATAATTTTAAATAAACTTGGCGATAGAATTTAAGTGTAAACTAGAAAACTTGAAAAAATAAACTTGGTAATATATTAAATAAACTTGAAAATTCAAGTCTAAACTTGAAAATAATTATAAATAAACTTGGCGAAAGAATTTAAGAATCTAAGTGTAAACTTGAAAACTTGAAAAAAATAAACTTAGGTATATTAATAAACTTTAAAAATAAATTCAAGTTTAAACTTTAATAAAATAAACTTTATAAAATAATTTCAAGTTTAAACTTAAATTATAAAATTGAATAAACACAAAATGAATAAACACTTATGTTTACTATGTTATGTTTAAAATTGCTCATTTAGATTTTATTTAACATTAAAAAAATTTTTTTCAGAAAGATGATATTCAAAAATTATTTTTTACTATTTGTGTTAACTCAACAAATAATTTCTTTACTAATATTCGCTTATCCACCCCAATATCCCCCCTTTTCACAATTTTCCCCTTATAATTCACAACAAGTACCGTTTGCTTCAGATAATTTTCCAAGATTTCCCCAAGGCTTTAGAGGGCCTTTAAATGGAAATAATTATTTTGGAGAAGCTAGTACAGGTTTTGGACAGAATTATCAACATCGACAAGGGTTTCAAAATATTCCACAAATGCCAAATAATTATTTTGGACAGTCAGAGCAATTAAGGAATCAACAAGGAATGTTTCAGCAGCCTTTCTATCATAACGTAAAATAATTTGAAATATTTAGAGAATTTGTAGTTTTAATTAGTTCAAGCTTAAACTAGTGCTGGGATCATGTGTATTTGAGCTAAGCTTATAATACCTGACTGCGGCTTAAAACATTGCAACTAAGGAGCTATGTGTCTACTACCACACTGATCTAGAGTAATTAATAAAATATTTTATCAAATTTAGTCTTTCCAAATGCCAACGATTAATAATCCACAATTTCCTCCACACCCATATTTCCGATTTCAACAACGTCCATTTCATGATCAGGCTTCTTCAACATTTCCAGAAGGATTTCAGACTGGAGTAGAACAAAATAAAGGAATTGAACAGCCATCAAGAAACCAGCCAACACAAAAGAATGATCAGAAAAGTTCAACCTTTGAAGATTTACAAGCGAAAGGAGTGAAAACATTAATTGATCAAGGAAATGGAAGTAATGAGAGTGATACTCTTCCAATATTCCTTAGAGGGGCTCAACAAGAATTTATAGAGGAGGTGAATGACAAAAAATTTTTAGAGTATATTTTTATTGTTGAGAGAAATAAGTCCAAAGTCTTCTCCTTTTCACCGAAGGGTTGGGGGGGGGGCAATGATTGGGAAGATTAGGGGAAGTTTAGGAAGAGTAGGTTTTTAGGAAGATTTGGGAAGATTCTGCCAGGATTTAAATTCAAAGACTTTCAGGGAATAGACCACGATATATGTAACTCCATTGCCTAGGACTGTCGATCCTTGGATAGTCTTTGAATATCCGAAACCGACCAGACCAGCTTCGAACCTTATTAAAAATACAGGGTGTTTCAACTAAGAAATACTATTTGAAAAATTCATAACTTTTTTCTGAATTGACAGATTTTAAAGAAATTTGGTATTTTTTATCTATATTTAATGGCATTTTTTTGACATAAAAATTATGTCTAAATTCGAACCCTAACCCTGTATTTCAATTTCGTTTCAATTTCGTACTCTACCGTTCTCTTTTTTCCCTCTTTTTATTGTGTGCTATCTTACTTCATTTATTTTGCTGCGTATGACGAAGAGTGGATACTGTATTAAAAATGTAGTGTCAATCGCCTAGTGTTTACTCTAGTGTCTGTCTCCCCTTGCAACAAATAAAGGGAAGTAAGAATGCATGTGGGGAAAAAGAGAAAAACAGAACTGTAGAGTACGGAATTATCTCAGGTTAGGGTTCGAATTTAGACAAAATTTTTGTTTCAAAAAAAATGCTATAAAATGAAGATAAAAAATACCAAATTTCTTTAAAATCTGTCAATGCAGAAAAAAGTTATTAATTTTTCAAATAGTATTTCTTAGTTGAAACACCCTGTACAATTTCTGAAACAATAGCATTTTAATAATAATTTTCAGTACAAAAAGATCATTCGCGAACCTAATCGTCCTTATAATGAACAAGTTGCTTTAATTGAACAACTTGTAAAGAAAATGGATGTGGACAGACAGGTAGAAACTTCGTCCATATAATTTGTAAAAATTAAAAATTTTTGATTAGATTCTCTTTAAAGAGTTTATGAAGCAAAACGATAATAAAAACAATGCTGACCGAGATAGGGTAGATAAAAAGGTCTCTGGAATGAGTGAAAATGCTAAAGAGCAATTTGCAGAGGTTCAACAGAATTTGTGGCTCTCTTAAGACTAAAAATTAATTTTTAGATTTCTGCTACATTAAATAATAAATCCGTTCCCGATCAGGAACGTTGGCAACAAGTTTTACAAATTTATAATAAAATGGAGCCGGAATTGAGAAATGAATTTGAGGAGAAGTTTAAAGGGTTTCAATCAGCATTTGAAAATTAATTTTTATCTTTTTGGAACGAAAATAAAAATTGAGCGAACAATTATTTTTTTAATTTTATTTATTATCGTCTCGAATATTAAAAAATATTTTTTGTGAAAAATATTTTGAAAAAAATTTTTTCTACATATAAAAAATTAGAAAAAAAATTATTTATTAAAAACAAATTTATAAAATTTAACTAATTTTTGGAGCAAACTTGGAAGGAGATGTGAAAGTGAGAGAAAACAAAGTTTTAATAAAATAGAGTTGTAAAAAAATAAAGTTCAACCGGATAAATTGAAATATATAAAAGTTAAAGAAAAAAGGAAAAACCAGAATTTTAATTTACGATAATATAAGATTTGTAATTTTTACAAACCAGAATTGTACTTTTAAAAAATCAGAATTACAAATTGTAATCTGAAAAATAATTCTGATTTTAAAGTGAAGGACTACAAAGTAAAAAACAGAAAGGGCTTTTACAAATTCTGATTGAATAAATCAGAATTGTAATTTTCAAATTCTGAGTCGTGATTATTTTTACAAATTGCGATAATATTAAAAAATTCAGAATTTCAAATTGTAACCGGAAAAATAATCTTATTTTTAAGTGTACAAAATAAAAAATCAGAAACAAGGTTTTTACAAATTCTGCTTCATTATTATTTTTACAAATTGTGATAACAAAATTAAAAATCAGAATTACAAATACAAAATAAAAAAATTTTTTTTTACAAAATTCTGAATTTTGAAATTAAAACAAAATAAAAATATCAGAATTAACGACTCAACTACGACAACATGTACGAAATAAAAGGGAAAAAAATCAGAATTTAAATTTACAGTCGGAAGAATTGTAATTACAAGTTTTTATCAATTATTAAAAAAAATTTTTCTAGTACCTAAATATCTAAAACTTTAAATCTTTCAGCAACATGTTCTAGTAGAAGGACAGGGCTCGTATCCGCCTAATGCATTTGGATTTAAAGTGAAATCTGTTTGGATAAGAAGGGCATGTTCAAGGAAGTGTATACTTGGGTTGACTATTGTCTTTAAAAAAAATTATTTTTATAAAATTCTGAAAATATTTAAGACGTACAATAGGCAATCCAGCAATGTTTGCAGGGATATTCAACTCTGTGCCTTTCTCCAAAGCATCGTTGGCGGCCTTAAAAATTATTAATGCAAGAATAAATTAAGCAAATTAATTCTTAGTATAAATTCTGGTTTTTATTTTTACAAATTCAGGGTCAAGTTTATTTTTAAATAATTACAAGTTAAGTTTTGAATCAGAATTTGCAACTATTAAATCACAATTACAATAAACTTGAAAATTTGTTATATCAGAATATTACACTACAAACCTAAAAACTTTAAATCAGAATTTGTAAAAAAAATTTTGATAATTTTACAAATTCTGATTTTTATTTTTACAAATTCTGATTCAAGTTTATTTTACAAATTCTGATTTAATTTCTACAAATTCTGATCCAAGTTTATTTTTAAAAATTCTGATTAAAGTTTATTTTACAAATTCTGATTTAATTTCTACAAATTCTGATTCAAGTTTATTTTACAAATTCTGTTTCAAGTTTATTTTTAAAAATTCTGATTCAAGTTTATTTTACAAATTCTGATTTAATTTCTACAAATTCTGATTCAAGTTTATTTTACAAATTCTGATTCAAGTTTATTTTTAAAAATTCTGATTCAAGTTTATTTTCACAAATTCTGATTCAAGTTTATTTTACAAATTCTGATTTTTATTTCTACAAATTCTGATTTTTATTCCAATTCATATTATACCTTAAGAAGAATATCCTTTCCCAAAGTTCCCAAGTTGTCGAGTGCATCTTGAGGCAATCCCAACTGATTTCCTACATCCTGAAGATTTAACCTAGTAATGTTTGCATGTGCAGATATTCTATTTCCCTGTCCATTAATTGTAACAATAAGAGAAGCATCTATTCTGATAGTCCCAGCTACGGCATTTGACGATTCTATATGGAACTCAGCATTGAGTACAGCATTAATTAATGCTGTTCCTTAAATAAATTTTTTTGACTGCAGGAATAATAATTTTTAAATTACCCCCATTCGATCCACTAAGCTGCACTGATGGGGCTCGTTCCGTGCTTATAATTATATAAACACGTTGATTTGGGAATTTCTCTCGAACAGACTTAAGTTGAAAAAATTAGTAAGATTTTAATATTTTTCTAATTTGTAAAATTTTTTGAGTTTGTAAAATTTTTCAAGTTTGTAAAATTTTTCAAGATTTAAAAATTTTTAAAGTGTGTGAAATTTTTAGGTTTGTAAAATTTTTCAAGTTTGTAAAATTTAACAAGTTTGTTAAATTTTTAAGTTTGTAAAATTTTTCAAGTTTGTAAAATTTTTAAGTTTGTAAAATTTTATAAAAAATTCTGATTTGTGATTTTTTAATGTTTCATAAAAATTACAGGTAAAATATCTCCCAAACAAATGCCCAAGCTTGACAAATCACTAGCATCTTGTCTCTTTAAACGCTTTAAAGACTTTAACTTCTTTGCTGCAACCTTCTTCTTTACTTCAACATTTATTGCAGGTGAAGCAGTTGATGCCCCTTCGCCTTCCTCAGTTTCAACTCCATGGTCTTCTAATTCTGTATCACCCCCTTCATCTTCACTTTCCCCACAAGTTGTTTTCAATAAATCGCCAAATTTGGGAGTCTCTGGGCCTACTCGAATTCGAATGAAGCCGGTACTTGATTAAATAAATAAAAATAAAATTCTGATTTATTCTGATTTTTATTCTGATTTTATTTCTTTTTCTATTTTTTCTGATTTTTTTTATTTAATAAATTTACTTGTGTAAGTGATAAAGTAACGAATTTATTGAATAATCGCTAATTAAAGCCTCCACCATTTTACAATTCACACAGGGGGGAAACTGCATTGGAAAAGGGCCGAAAGGTGTACAACCTCGCCCACAAACAGAAAATCCGCCTGAATGGAATTTTAATTAGAATTTATTTTAATTAAAAGAAGCACCATTGACTTCTATTGTGAAATCTCTTGTAGTTGCATAAGTTTGTAAAAGTTGAATATTTAAAAATATGTTGTTGAGTTTGCGCTTAAAAAAGTTTTTATCTAAGAAGGAAAAGTTGGGATTTCAAGTTTAATTAATTATAAATGTATTTCAAGTTTATTTATATAAAATTTAATTCAAGCTTTAAAAAATTCTGATTTAAAGTTTAATTATTAATTCAAGTTTATTTTTCTGAATCCGAGATTGTAAAATTCGGATTTTAAGCTTATGAACTTAAGTTTCAAGTTTTCTATAATTCTGATTTAAGGTTTATTTTCAGAAATGATAATTCAAGTTTATTTTCCATCAGAATTATTTTAATTATATTCTGGTTAATTTATATGTAGGTATTCTGATTCAAGTTTTAATTTCTAAAATTCTGATTTCAAGTTTATGAACTTAAGTTTCAAGTTTTCTAAAATTCTGATTTAAAGTTCATTTCAAACCAACCAAATCCATTGAATGTAATATTGTAGTCAGAAACGCTAACGGATTTTCTTCTCCAACAGTGTTTGTACAATTTTCGCAATTATTTTCGCCTGGATCTAAAAACGTCAGTCTCCCAGATTCTGAAGGAGTAGCACGGTCATCTCGAGTTTTTGCCATTTCAAACTGGTTGTTAACGTTTCGAACGGGTCTCTGTGCGCGTGGGGGGATAGGTGCAGCTATTGTTGGTGGATTCTTTGAAAAGATTTTTTAATAAAACTTTTTGAGAATATTTTTTGTAGTTTATCCTAATGTTTCTTTCACCCTACTTTCAAAAGTTCCGTCCACCTTACTTTTGACTGTTCCCTACACCTTACCTTTGAGTGTTCCATTCACCCTACATCTGAATGTTCCTTTCACCCTCATCTGAATGTTCCCTTCACCCTACTTTCGAAAATTCCGTTCACCCTACTTTTGAATGTTCCATTCACCCTACATCTGGATTCCTTTCGCCTCTCTTAAATATCCCCTCCAACCTTTCCACGCATACTTTCGAATGTTACTTTCACCCTATTCTAGTGTTTCAGAGATAAGATTATTTTGAACATTAATTTTAAAATTACAATTCTAGTCCTTCCAGTATTCATAGTCCCAGCAACGTTAATTGAAACAACTCTTGGAAGACTTCCCCTTCCAATATGCTGCGGTTTGATGGGTTGTACAGCATGAGGAGGATGATTTGAAGGTCTAGATAATATTTGCCCATTCGAGTTTCCATTTATTGCTGTTCCACTGATCAATTTTAGTGAAGGATCCTCGTTGTTTTTAATAACTCTTCCACCATTTTTTGTTGAAACTAATTTATCATGTGATGAATGGGGAGGTAATACAAGTACTGTTGAATTGGAAGATGATCCTGCTGCATGGGCAGCTGCCAACTTTCGTTTTTTGCATGAAGCGGGGCAGGCTCTTTTAGTCTTTAAAGAAGAGGGAAATTTGTGATTTTTGAAATGATTATGAAAAAAGTGGCATTTTTAATTTTGATATTATGAAAAACATTTTAACTTATAAGAGAATTCCCCTTCCAATTTTCAAATTTTTAAAAATTTTTATTGTTCCCTTCACCCTACTTTTGAATGTTCCCTTCACCCTACTTATGAATGTTCCCTTCACCTTACTTTTGAATGTTCCCTTCACCCTACTTTTGAATGTTCCCTTCACCCTACTTTTGAATGTTCCCTTCACCCTACTTTTGAATGTTCCCTTCACCTTACTTTTGAATGTTCCCTTCACCCTACTTTTGAATGTTCCCTTCACCCTACTTTTGAATGTTCCCTTCACCCTACTTTTGAATGTTCCCTTCACCCTACTTTTGAATGTTCCCTTCACCCTACTTTTGAATGTTCCCTTCACCCTACTTATGAATGTTCCCTTCACCCTACTTATGAATGTTCCCTTCACCCTACTTTTGAATGTTCCCTTCACCCTACTTTTGAATGTTCCCTTCACCCTACTTATGAATGTTCCCTTCACCCTACTTTTAAATGTTCCCTTCACCCTACTTATGAATGTTCCCTTCACCCTACTTTTGAATGTTCCCTTCACCCTACTTTATAACAACTTACAGGGTTTCCACCCAATAAATTCTCTAAACCAAAAGCATTTAGGGCAATTTGTAGCAATGATGAGAGAGGAATCAGTCTTGGAACTAATTGCGATATTTTTGAGTTTACTTCAGAATCAATTATTCCTGGCAATCTTTGGCAAAGCTGGCCGGGAATTTGTTGTCTAACCATTTCGCTAATTTTTCCCTTAAATTTAAAGTATTTCAATTAAAAATCAGTTCATTTTAAATAAATTTACCCTAAAATGAGCGTTAGCAATATCGCCAACTAGACCCCCATTCTGTATAAATACATCTACAAATCCTACACTAGCAGCGCCTTTTTTGATTAAAAATTAGTTAAAATAATTTTTCTAAACTTACAGCTAACCATTCGAATCACAGGGCCTCCATCAGGACCCGCAGCTATAGTTACACCTACACGTACACTAACCTTTATTTTAAATTTTAAATGAAGAGGATTAGGTATTTGAATTTACCTGATGAGCATTTACTTGTACAATTCCAAATAAGGCTATAGGTATAAGTATAACTATTTGACCTCCGAGATTTCCTGTTACCCTAATATTTTTTAATTTAAATTAAAATTAAAAATAATGAAGATACCCTATATCAAGATTATGTACATCCAGCACTATTTGATTTGGAGGAGCTGGATAAACTAGTACCCCTAAAAATAGGCAAGAAAGTGTCAAGTTTGTAAAATTTTACAAAACTCACTTTCTGGACATCTAAAACGCGATACATACAAATTGTAAACATTAATACACCCATTAAGCTAGGAAGGAAATTATTTTAATTAAGTTTTAAAGTTTTAAGTTTGTGCTTAAAAGTTTTGAATAAAACAAGAAAAAAAGTAATACCAGAATATTAAATTACAAACTTGAAAATATTAAAACCAGAAATTCAAGTTTATTTAAGAAAATATTAAAACCAGAAATTCAAGTTTATTTAAATGATTGTATATAAGGTTTTACAAATCAGAATTAAATCAAGTTTAGTATTAAATCAGAATTTGTAAAAAAAATCTGATTTTTTTAAGTTTAATAATTGTTAGTCAAGTTTTACAATCAAAACTTTATAATTATTAAATCAGAATTACAACAACTTGAAAACCTGATAATATCAGAATATTAATTTACAAATCAGAATTATAATTTACAAACTTAAAAATATTTAATCAGAATTTGTAAAAATTATTCTTATTTTAAGTTTATTTTTCATAATTCTGAAATTAAGTTTTACAAACAGAACTAGTAATAATCAGAATCATAATAAATTTTTAAAAATAAATTAAAATCAGAACTTACAGTAATTCTGATTCTGGTTTATTTTTAAATATTATTAAGTCGTTATTCAATCAGAACTTTACAATTATTAAATCAGAATTACAATAAACTTAAAACTTGGGTATCATCAGAATATTAATTTACAAACTTAAAAACTTATTTTCAAGCTTAGCAAACTTAAAACTTTCAAATGAATATTCTGTTTCAGAATTTAGAAATTAATTTTACCTGTGGAATGCATTGCTGAATATTTGGAAGTCTTGTCCTTTTTATGTAATAATCTGATAAAAATATTTAATTCAAAATAATTTTCATTTTTAATCTAAATTTCACTTAAAATGCCTGCCGCAATTGTAGATAAATATTGAAAAGCTCGCTGGTTCAATCTTGCTTTAATCCCAGCACCTCCAGTAATACCCCCAGCAAGTGCAGGATCAAAATAGGAACTTTAGATAAATTCTATTAGAAAATTAAAATTTAATAACTGACGGTGGAGGACATCTTCCATCCCATGGAGCATTACAATTAACTTCACCGGTTTGTGTTTGTCGTAATACCCTTCTATAGGATGATGGCACATGATTTTGCTTTAAATTTTATTTTTTATAATTTTTTTTTTCACGGAAAGATTTTTACAGTTTCAAGAAGGACACTTCTCCTTTGAGGGTGAACAATAAAAGAATTGCTATCGCCCTCTAGCGATCCGTGCTGATCGATCCACTGTGGAAGTTGGGGCTGCGCGAGGGGTAGAAGCAAGCAGAAGAAATATAAAAACAACTGGGGAAATAAAACATGAGAAAATAAAAATTTAAATAATTCTGATTTAAAGTTTATTTTGTATAATTGTAAATCAAGTTTACAATTTTACAATCAGAATTAAATTAAGTTTATTATTAAACCAGAATTTGTAAAAATAAATTCTGATTTGTAAAAATGAATTCTGATTTGTAAGATATTCTGTTCCTAAAAATTCTGATTCAATCAGAATTTGTAAAATATATTCTGATTTAAAATTTATTTTTTTTTACAATTGTACATCAAGTTTTAAAATCAGAATTAATAATCAGAATTATAATAAAGTTTTAAAAATAAATTAAAATCAGAATTTGTAAAATTCTGATTTCAGGTTTATTTTAAAACAATTCTGATTAAAATTCTGAAAATAACTAGCAAATCTGACCTTTCGTTCTCGCCACCACATTCTCTGATTAATTGAGAATGTGGGGAAATAACGTCGAGAATGCGACGTCATGGGTAGATTTTGAGTTTCTACTCAGAATAGTGCAGAAATTTTTTTTAATTAAAATAAATCATTTTTAATTAAATTAAATCTGGTGAATAATTAAATTTAGTCTAGGAAATTATATTTTAAATTAATTAAATTTTTTTAATTTCTTAGGGGAAAATTATTTTTAATTTTTATATGGGGAAATTCAAAAATAATTAAAAAAAATTAATTAAAAAAATTTTCTCAATTAAAAAAATTTTTTAAATAAAATTTCAAAAAAATATTTTTAATTAAAAAATAGTGCATTATTATATCCAAAATGGATTAGTAATATGTACCTATAAAAATAAATATTTGGGAAGTGAGAACAAAATAATTAATTCGGAGGATCTACGCGTACTGAAAAATTTTCTTCTTCTTCCTTTTTTGTGTTATGGATCGGCCCGAATCTTCTTCTTCCTTACCTCCTTCCTTCTTTTCTCTTCTCGGAAGTGATCTACGGGTGAATTTAAACGTAGAAGATATAGGTATTTATTTAATTTTTACGCCTCAAGGCATTTCGATAGGGCGAAGGGGATATAAAATATGCACATATAGGGGGACAAGTGACCGCGTGACCACTAAAAATACAAGCATTATTTGATAAAATTTGAAAAATTAATAATAAATTTTTGTGGATAGCTTAGAAAAAGAAATACAAATGCCTTCTGGGACTGATAAAAACAGATTAAATATGTCCAAGGATTTATTAATTGAGAGAAAATTTGAATTCAAAAGTAGTTTGGGATCTGACCTGTATGCAATAAAATATTCCTAATTTTAATAAGATTATACAAATATCACAAAATCAACAATGAAAAAATATGAGCACATGTTTAGACACCGAGTAATAACTATCCTGGGTAATTATTGTTGGAGGGAGTAATTAATAGAGGCGGGATAATTATTTGAGAGTGGGCAATTAATACAGGTTATACGGTAGTAGATCTTAGCAATTCAGTTGCTCTTCCTTCCTTACTACGGGCTGAGCTCCCGTGGCGATGCTTTTGCTTTCTCCCTTATTGTCTTAAACCGTTGCGGTTTAAATTCTAAACAGCCAAAACCCTTATAATATAAACACAATCACAAAAATAAATTTTAGATAAATAAATTAGGCAACTAAGACAACAACCTAAATATGTTTTATATTTAAATAAAAATATTTTGTCCAAACAATAAGAGATCAAAGATCTTTACTTAAAACAATAAGTAATTAATTAGCCTGTTTATAAAGTGAAAGAACAAAAAATGAAACAAAAGCCTTCGGAACGCATTAAAAGGGGTGGAGTCGCGGGACGAAAAAACAACTGATTAAGGAAGGTGTTCTAGATTTTTTGGAAGAACATCCCTTGTGATCATTCTAAGGGAAGAATAAAGGAAATTAGAAAAATGATAAATAAGTAGATGTTTTTTAATAAGGTGAAGACGGAAGTGGAAGAAATCCCTTCACTGATACACATGATTCTTAAAAAAACTAGATTGAACTTGAGGTTAAACTAGACTTAGAACAGGAGAATTAATAAAAGTTTAAAATTAAGCCTAAACTTACAAAGCAATAAGTTAAGTTTTAAGTAGAGTTGGGCGAATTTCTGTCTTAACGGAATTATATGTCCCTTTTCAGGGTAATCCCAGCAGACAGAAAATCGCCCAACTCTAATTTAAAGTTTAGTTTGCGATGTATGGATGATTCACCTAGAGCGGAAGGTGAATAAAAAAAATTCACCGAAAGCCTAGCAATAACTGTCAGGAGGTCGGAGGTTAGGATCTTGCTCGGTGGCTAAACTTTTGCTAAACTCTTTCTTAGGTTTTATATTTTAAACTTAAGTAAGCTTAAAAAATAAAATGTCCATGTTACAGTGTCACCTACTCTTATGCTTCTAAAAAACTTTAGACGTTTCTAAAACTTAATTTAGAAATTAATAAATGTTCTATGGCCTAAAGGCGTCCTTCGTTCTAATAAAAATAAATGATTTTTTACAACGACCGTTCGTTGAAAAATTGGAAAAAAATAAAATTAATTTTTATTGTAGGCCATTAAGGAATTGTTTTGTTTGTGTATTTATTGTTGTGTCCGCGAAATTTATGATAGAGGTGAAGGTCTTTTGAGGAGTTGCGCGCTCCATTTTTTGAAGGAGAATGAAAGTTGAAAGAAAATTTGCGACTTTTTGTAAAGGTTAAAAATTTTTATTAAAAATTCTTGTTTAAAAATACAAGAATTTAACAATCGAAGATAACAATCGAAAATAATACAAAAATTAATGAGGTAATTGCGAATAAATTTAAATTATTTGTAAGATAAATGAAAATATGTTAGAAAAAAAATAATTAAGCTTTAAGTGCATGCCTTAATTTTTAAATTTAATTTTTTAAAGTTTATTTATTTTAAGCATCTAATCTTAAGTCTAATCTTAAGTTTAAGGTTTATTTAATAGTTTTTAAGTTTAAGCTTAAGTTTTGTTTAATTAAGTTTAATTGTTAAGTTTAAACTTAAGTTTCAAGTTTTTCAAGATTTAAACTTATTTATTAGGTTTTAAGTTTTAATTAAGTTAAATTTAAGTTTTAAGTTTAATTGTTAAACATTAAGTTTGAACTTAAGTTTCAACTTATTCTCAAGTTTTAAGTTTATTTATTTGCATGCTTAAAGTTTAATCTTAGGTTTTAAGTTTTAATTAAGTTAACGTAAGTTCTAAGTTTTAATTTCCAAGTTTTAAGTTCTCTAAAGCAATAAATTAAAGATTAAACTTAAAAACAAATATAATAAGTTTATTTATTAATTATGCCTACAATAAAATTAATTCAAGTTGTTAATGAAAACACTTGTGGTTGTATTGCTTATTCTCAAGGTGAAATTGAGGTGCGCATAAATTTTAAAAAGGGACAAAAAATTGTGTCGCTTTCAAATGTCCTTCCAAAAATTTTTTAATTAACTTTTTTGGATGTTTTCTCTGATATATTGCCTTAAAAACATAAGGTTTAACTAGCGTTCAATGTTTTTTCTTTCATTTTCATGGCCGTGAAGCGCGCGAAACTGCTGTGTGTAAATATAATGAGCAATTTTAAAACCTGCTTATTTAGTGGAAAAGGGAAATAAATTTATAAAGAAATTTGTCAATAAAATTGGAAAAATATTAAAATAATTTTTGGAAGCAAAGTTGATTTTTGGAATCAATTTTGGGGGTTTAAAAAATATTTTTAAAAGGAGTTTACAATTTTTGGAGGTTTCACGTTTGCAGCAAATTTTCTGAATTTTCTTTTTTCCTTTACGTTGAGCCAAAAAAGCAATATATTTTCTCCTTTCCAATCGTATTTTTGCACATTCAATGATGCTGCTAATATTAATAAAAGTAATAAACAAAAGCTAAATAGTAAATCTCTCTACGTTTTCACTAGAAAAAATATGCGTGAATGTTTTTTCTCTGTAATTTACTATGTTTCGCGCAAATTCCCCTTCGTTCACGACATTAGAGTTTTTGTTTAGATGAATAGAAACGTGAAAAGAAATTTTTGTTTAATGTTTGATGTTTATTTAAATTCAAGTTTTTATTAAAGTTTTTAAGTTTAAGCTTGTATATTCAAGTTTAATTTTAAGTTCTAAGTTCAAGTTTTAATTATTTTTAAGTTTAAGTTTTTAAGTTCAAGCTTGAATATTCAAGTTTCAGCTTAAGTTTTAAGTTCAAGTTTTAATTGCTTTTAAGTTCAAGCTTGAATATTCAAGTTTCAGCTTAAGTTTTAAGTTCAAGTTTTAATTGCTTTTAAGTTCAAGCTTGAATAAAATATTAAAGTTTCAAGTTTTTATATCTTGTTCAAGTTTTAAGTTGAAGTCTTAATTAAATTTTCTATTTGTTTATAAGTTTTACCTTAGATATTAAAGTTTTAAAATCAAGTTTAATTTTGACTTAATTTTAAGTTCGATCTTAAGTTTTACGTATTTACAATCTATTTTCCTTATTGTCACCTACAACTTTAAATTTAAATTTTTATTTTTATTCTCAGTACAAATATTTTATGGACTCAGGTGTGCTTTTCCTTCCCCGTTCCGTGCCCTTTTGTTCACAACATGGTTGCGGATGTTGAAGCAATGGACCACAACTACACAGAGGGTTTTATTCAAAGGGAGAAATGAATGAATGAAAAAAACTGCTGTTTGAGAAAAAATAAAAATATTAAGCATAACTTGGCTTGATCTCTTTATTGTTGAATTTATCTCTTTTGTCCTTCCCCGTTCGCGTTTTAATAAAAACGATGAATCAACATTGAGTTTTAATGCTGGGATTTTTTTAAATAAATTATGACCAGAAATCCCTCTATGTTATATCAACTTTAAGCTTAATTATATAAAAACTGAAGCAAAAAAGTGAAGCATAAAACTGAAGCAAAAAAGTGAAGCAAAAAAGTGAAGCAAAAATCTGAATCAAAAAAGTAAAGCAAAAATCTGAAGCAAAAATTAAAAGCAACAATTATTAGCAAAAAACTGAAGCAAAATAGTCAGACGATCAAAATTCCAGCTTATAAAAATCCAAAAAAATCCAAAACCCAATAAAAAACTAAAAAAAATCCAAAAATATAAATCAAAATAAATAAAAGAATCCATTTTAGGCAACAATTTCCTGTGCAATTTTCTGTCATTTGCGCTTTTAAGAAATGATTTGTTACGTTCAATATGCGTGAAAGCTTTATTAAAACTGGTATAATATTTTTGTAAAAGTTGAGAAAAATGTCAAAAAATAATAATAAAAAATTTTTTTTTCTTAAATAATGTTGCGTTTTGTAGACAAATTAATCTAAGCTAGAAAAACAAATAAATAATAAACATATTTTGTGAATATATAGACGAACATTTTTGGTATAATAAAACATAGAAACAAGTTTTAGTTGTGAAATAAAAACAGAAAACATAATTGTAAAAAATTAATGGAAATTTTTAAATAAAAAATAAAAGTTTTACAAATCAGAATTAATTTTTAAATGACCGTATTTGCTAAATAATTACACAGGGTATTTATTATTTCAACCTCTTGCTGCAGGAGGTAATTATTTTAGCTTTATTTAGCTTTATTTTTTTTAATCAGAAAAGCTAATTATAACTATTTTTAATAGAGGCAATTATTTTTCGATCTCTGGCTGTAGAGGATGATTAATTGGCGGGGGTAATTGTTTTAGATAGGGACATTATTTCAGCATTTACGGTATAAGTTAAAAACAATAATTAATTTACAATTTGTAACTAGATTTACAAACCTTCTTTTTAATGTTTTAACAACTTTCTTTATGTTTTACAAACTAAAAACACAATTATAAGAAAACAATTAGATATGATAAAATCAGAATTACAAATCAGAATTTTCTAAATACTCGCAGTGTAAGCGAGTAAATAATTCAAATCAGAACAGAATTTTACAATTTTTATTTCAAGTTTTATTAAGTTGAAATCAAAGTTTTATAATTCAAGTTTTACAAATTTCATTTTATTCCCCTTACAAAATCAGAACAAGTTTTACAATTTGTAATTAATTTACAAATCAGAATAAAAACTTTATTTTTTTTTTGTTTTATTTTCAAGATTACCAACTTTTTTAAGTTTACCAACTTTAATTTAAATAAATAATAAGGTTTATTTATATATTATTAGGCATATTTTATTAAAGGCATATTTTATTAAATTAAGGCATATTTTATTAAATTAATAAGTAATGCCAAGGCATGCGTACATGAGTGACATTTTAATTTATTTACTTCCACTATTAATAATTTATTTAATAAAAAGAAAATTTTTTTATTAATAAATTTTTTATTAAGATTTTTATTGAGTTCAACTTACATAATTTAAAATAAATTTATTAGACACTCAACAAAATTTTATTTAAAATTGAATAATAAATTATTTATTTGTTCATTTCACTCTTTTTAAGTTAACCTGAATTTAATTTTTGAATTTTTTATGTTGACAAATTTTTTATTTTATTTTAATAAACTTTAATATTGAAAAAAATTTAAGTGAATATTATTTTTAATTTATAGGTGGGAAGCTTATAATTTAATAATTTTTATTGAACAGAAGAAGTAATTGCTACCTTGGGTTCCTTGAAAATCGAAAAATTAAATTTTAAGTAGACTTATTTTTAGTGTAGAAAAAATTAAAAAATTAAATGGTATTTGACACTGAAGATGATTTGTGTTATTCATAGAAATGGAAATATAAACACCCTTATTAGACCTCTTTTTAGATAAGATTTTAGTCGATTGTTTAATTATTTCTTAAAATATTTTTATTTTATCACAAAGTCATCAATTAAGAAGCACCCATTTTTTAAAATTTTTTTTATCTTCAATTTTTTTTATTTTACAATCGTAAAAATAAAATTTATATAAAATAAATTATGGTTATATTAAACACCCTTGGGGCTCTATTTTTCAACTATTTTGAAAAGACGGGGTATATTAAAGAGGAGGAGGCACTAATTCAGACGGGGGCTGTATTTTTCAACTATCCTTGAAAAGTGGGCTTTATTAAGGAGAAGGCTAAAATTCATAGGGGAGGAGGGTGGGTTAATACAGAAAATACGGTATATTACATGGCTGGGCTTAGTTCGCACTTTCGCGTTTCGCTTTCGCATTTCGCTTTAAATTTTTAGATTTCGCCCAGCCTTGGTATATTATGTAAAATTAAATTAGATCCAATTGTTTTTATTAACGAAATTAAAAATCTAATAAAAATCTAATAATTAATTAAAATACAATTTTTAAATTAATATTTTTTCATTAATTTGCAATTTTTCGAATTAATTAATTTTAACTTCCGATAGTAAAAAACACGAAAGAAATTAAATAATGAATTAATATAGAATTAATACAGGAAATTAAAAATCTGTAATTTTTAAATTTAAATATTTATTGTTTAAATTTCAAAAATAATTAAACAAATAAAATTTTTTTAAATTTGTTTTTGCTTATTTATTAAAAAATTTTTCAAAAAATTTTTTACGTAAAAAATACAAAAAGAAAAATTAAATAATTTATTGTTAATAAGCTAAAGAACAAAGGCTTTTTATTAAAATTTGAATTTCTTTTTTTTAAATTTTCTTTTGATAATTGTTTTTTGGTTTATTTATGTTATATTTAATTAATTAATTATTTTGGAATTATTTTTTATATAAGATTATTAATTAAATTAATTTAATTAATTAAACATTTTTTTTATTTATTTCATTATTTTAAGAAAAAAATATAAAACCTAGCTGCATTATAATTAATAGGCAAGCAAAGACCATTAGACACCTGTAGTTTTGTCGATTCAGTTTTTCGAAACTGTTCCAAGGATCGACAATAATTACCGTTGCTTTTAAGATTCCGTAGCCCTTCTCGAATAATTATTTCAGCTCTATATATTACTTACACACGTGTTCATAGTCTTGTACCAAAATTCGTTCTCGTACTCGCGCTCGCGCCTTGGTACGAAGTACGAGTGCGAGGTACGGTGCTAAAAATAAGCAGGTACGAAGCACGAGTAAAATTGAAATTTATAAACACTGCTTACGCCATCGAAAAGCATATTAATAATTACTCGATAAGTGTAATTATTAGAGGATTTTACGGTATCCTCCTTTAAAGCTAGTGGAGTCGCTCGGGTAATCACTCGTTCGGGTATGTTAGGGAATGTAATTTTGTATTTTTAAAATTAGGCAACTTTTAGGTGATTTTTCTATACTTAATTAATTTGTAAAAATTAAGCACCCTTTTTTAACTCGAGTGAGCTCGTTATTTTTGTTCTACCCTAAGTATGCTAAATTCATTGTTTTGAATTTAATTTCATGCTTTTTTTAATCTTAAAATTTCTAAATTAATAAATTTAGCAAAAAAAACTTATTTTTAATTTAATCTATTTTTCTAAAAATAATTTTTTAATTTTATTTGTGAAAATAAACAAGGAAAACTAAATATAGACCCTTTTATGTAAAAATAATAATAATATTTTTAAATACCCCTTAATTTTAAATATCTTTATTTTTATTTATAAATAGCTTAAAAATAATTTTAAAAATTTTAATAAACATCTAAATTAAATTGAATAAAATTTACACGCCTTATAAGGCTTTTAATAATTAATTTAGTTTATAATTAATTTTGAAACTGAAGTAAAAATAATTTTAAAATGCCTAATTTAATGTTAATTACATCACTATTGTAGCCTTTGTTTTTATGGCGTGAATGAAATTTTTATGAAAAATTTTAATAAATATCGTATACGATTTTTAATTATTTAAAATATCTAGATTATTGCCTCCAATTTTTTCGAAGCCTATAATTTTTTTTAAATTTTAAAAATATTTTTTTAAATCTTTAAAATTTTATTTTTAATCTTAAACATGATGTTTAATTTTAATTTTGTTATATATATATTCACAATATTTTTATTATTTATAAAAATTGTTATTTTAATTAATAATAAATTTAATCTATTCTTGAAGCTAAATTATAGCGGGATGGGACGAGCTACACGAATATAAAACACAAAAACCGAACCTGGATTATTTTGCCGATCCGCTTTGAAACCTGAAATCCGAGACCTGATTTTTCCCCTAGACCGACCGACATCCCACTTATCCCCCAAGCTTTTCCCCTAACCCATCCTTAGCTCATACCCTTATCTTTAATACACTTATCTTTTCATACCCTCAGCTCTTTCATCGAAACTTATTAAAACCTTAATGACTTTTAATCTTTTAATATTTATATTGAACGACGTGGTCTTGGGCACAAAAACATTACAAATTAATTTCCAAAAAAATGTCTTGTTTTTAATAAAATATACCTAAATAAATGCAAAATAAGACTATAATTCTAAAGAAAATAATAAAAATAAAAATAAATTATTTAAAAAATAAAAGAGATTAAAAGCCAAAAAATTTTCTTTTATTTTAAAGCTTTGGAAAAGCCTTTGAAAAGCCTTTTATTTAAAAAATTATTTTCCTTTTTAAATAAATTTTGACATTTAAATTATGAATATTATTGCCTTATTAGCTTATTATTTAAATATTTTGAAAAGTTCCTTTAATAAAAAATTCTCACAAATTTTTCTAAAAATTTTTTCTAATTTTTCCAATTTTTCCCAATTTTTAGTGAACAAAAATAAAACGAAAAAAGCTCTAAAAATTATTTTTTCAACCCTAATTTAATCAAAATTATGACTGTTGTTGGAGAAGAAGCCAAGGAGTGGACGAGGGTAGATGCTCCTCTAGACGAGCGCTTAATTATCGGATTGCTTTATTTGTGTTCAGCTTTGTTTTTTCTGGTTCTTCAATTCTCTGTTATTTTTGTATGTTTTTTTTGATTTAAAATTTTTTTAGAGGTCCATTTATAGTGAGCGATCTAATGCCACTCCCTCCCTCTCTCTTTTAATACCAAAAATCCTTTCGAAAAAAAAAATTAAAAAAAATATTTTTCCGTAATAAATTTAGATCATTATAACCTATAAAGACTTTCGTGGCCACCTCTGTTACAGAATCATGCTTTTTATTTCGATTGCTGATTCAATTCAACTCGTCGTTCATTCATATGGTAACTAAATATATACCTAAATTAACTTAATAAACTTGAAACAAGTTGAAACTTGATTTACAAACTTGAAAACCAAAAATAAACTTGAAATTTATTCAATCTATTTTAACAAACTTGAAATAAGCTGAATTTAAGTTTGCGCTTGAAATAAGTTCATTATTGTAAACTTGAAATTAATTTAATTTTTATTATAAACTTGAAGCAAGCTTAAACTTGAAAATAACTTTTAAAAAACTTGAAATAAGCTAAATCTAAGTTTAAACTTAAAATAAGTTTATTATTGTAAACTTGAAACTTAAAGCAAGCTTGGACTTGAAAATAATTTTAATAAACTTGAAATAAACTTGAAATAAGTTTAAACTTGAAATAAGTTTATTATTGTAAACTTGAAATTAATTTATGATTTTTATAAACTTGAAGCAAGCTTAAACTTGAAAATTAATTTAAGGTGGAATTATTTGTATACTGAACAATTCCTTGAGTTTCTTCATGGAAAAGGTGTGTGACTTTCACACTAGTTTAGAAATATTTTTTATTATTTATCAGGCAGCCGGAGGCTTAGCCAACTCCATCTTAATGGCAACAATGCCAATTTGCCTTGTTTTATCATTAAATCGACTGCTTGTCTTCCTTCCTTCAAAACTTGATGAAACAAGTGAAGAACGCTTATTCAACTGGTTAATCGCATTGTCCCTGCTTCACGGCCTCCCTTTCTTCATTATTTACTTAACACCACATTCTACAATTGCTTTTCGTTATTATACATGGGATTATGTCACAATTTATAATAATTCGACTTGGACTTGGGTTGGAACATCTACAGCAATATTACCTTTACCTTATATAACGCTAACACTTTTTGTATATTTGGCTATTTTTGGTGTTCTTATTTTACAGGTAGATTTATTTTAGTGAAGCAAAAATATTTTTTGTAAACTTGAAACTTTGTTTTTATATAAATACTACGGAAATGACTAATAAAACTTTTTTAAGTTTGCAAACTTGATCAAGTTTTGTAATATTATTAAACTTGAAATAAGCTGATAAAACTTAAGCATGCTTAGATTTCGCAAACTTAAAAAAATAAACTTAATTTTTGCAAACTTGAAAAAATAAACTTGGAGTTTGTAAACTTAAATAAATTAACTTAGATTTTGTAAACTTAAAAAAATAAACTTGGATTTTGCTAACTTAGAAAAATAAACTTAGATTTTGCAAACTTAAAAAATATTGACTTTAGTGATTACAAACTTGAAAATAAACTTAATTTGAGATACAGTCTTTAATAAGCTTAACCTAACCGTTTGTAATTCTGAATATTTTATTGGTTTTCAATTTGTAATTTTGTTTTAAAATTTGTTTTGTAATTGTAATAAACTTGGACAATTATGATTTCTATTTATTTTTAAATTTATTATTAAATTTATTTTTACTTTCAGCGTCGAAAAATAACTACATCAAAACCCAAAAAGATCACACCAACAGTATGTCCAACACCTACCACAACCATGTACCAACACAACACAAATCTTACTAGAAATCAAAAAACTGAACAAATTCCAGCAAATGTTATTCCAATAGAATGGAGTGCCTATAAACCTCCACAGCCTTCCACAACAAAAAACATCTCTTCCTCAACTCATCCAATACAACATTTAATTCAACATGAGAGACGCTTACTCTTCCAAGCGCTAGTTCAATTCGGGGTTGAATTCTCTCTTTGTTTAATTTGGTTTTATCAAATGATTGGTGCGCCGTTACCCGAAGGAGTGGTTTTTAATGCTTTTATTAATTGGTATTGGATATTCTACAATGGATTTAGACCTCTAGTCTATTTGGCAATGAACAAGTAAGGAAAATAAGATTTTAAATTTTGAAGCAAAAAAGTTGAAGCAAAAAAGTTGAAGCAGAAAGTTGAAGCAAAAAGTTGTAGCAAAAATTCGAAGCAAAAACCTGAAGCAAAAATATGAAACAAATTTTTGTTTTTCAGAACTGTTCGGAAGCGCCTTCTAGCCCTCTGGCTGAATCAACCTCAAGCGACTTTGGTGGACTTTGGCAAGCTTCAAAGAGGAGCAGCACCTCAGGGTATACGTGCTACACCACGGCTTTTCTCTCAAAATAAACAAACACAAAATTATGCTAGTGGGAGAATGAGTTAGAAAATTTGTTCTATTTTCTATACGAATTTGATAATTTATGAATTTTATTTTTTATAAAAAATTTTTTAAATTAATTTTCAAATAAATCGTATATACAAAAAATATTTTTATAATTCTCTTATAAAATCGGCTCGTTCACCAACGGCATTGGACGACGAGGCGTTACAGGATTTGCACCTGAAACAAGCATAACTTCTTGTTGAACAACTCGAGGTATCTTTGCAAATTCTGCGGTACTTTCTGACTGTTTATTAAGCCAGAGTGATAAAAGTCTTGTACGGATTGTTCTGAAAAATATTAATTAACAGCTTCAGATGTTTCCACAAGCTCTATTTCAACAGATTGCTGAACTCTCTAGTGTTCACTATGAGAAACTAGCAGGAACACCGCCCAGAGATATACTGTTTATAACCCCAAGGAATATGAGGAAAAGCAGTTTAGCTGATGTTCATTCCAACTTAGTGTCCTTTCTCCATTAGATGTGTTTCCGACAATCTTAGTGCTCAATCAAGCTCTTGACCGTGTTCCATTAACCCCGTTCGCTATCAGCATCTCTGGAAGCGAACTTCCAACGCTACTCCCCAGGATTTTATAGAAAAGGATTCTCTTATTCAGACTAATTTGAACGTAAAATTGAGTTTAAATTTAAAATTTAGTAACATAAGTTCGTTAGAACCTCCTTAAATTTACATTAATTAATTAATTACTTGTTCATAGCCAAATAGACAAAGGGTCTAAATCCATTGTAGAATATCCAATACCAATTTGCCAATACATTAGCAATTATTCCATCCGGAAGCAAGTCAACCATTTGTAAAAACCAAATCGTACTTAAAGAGAATTCAACAACAAACAGGACTATAGCCTGTAAAAGTAGTCTACGTTCATGTTGAATTAAGGACTGTTTTGGTGTTAATATGTCGTGTTGAATTGAAATTCTTGACTGGATTGAGGGTCGGGTTTTGTAAAATCCGGGAATGTTGTTTATCCCTTCTATTGGTCTTCCAATCTCCCCTTGTTGGATGGATAAACGTTGTTGATGAATTCTGTTATTAGCCATTATTTGATTTTGATATTGTTGTAGATTATTAAATTGAGGAGCAGAGGAAACGTGAAACAATGCTGATACTTGCCTGATTGCTAGTTCCGATTTTGGCAACAGTTTAAGTGTCATTTTGCGACGCTAAAAATTATCTTCTAGTTTTTAAATTATAGTGTTTGTATCAAGGTTGCAAATAAATTTATTAAATTAGTACTATGTATAATCAAACTTAAGTTGTAAACTTTTAAGTTTGTAAACTTAGATTTCTTTTTATGAATCAAGTTTATAAACATGTTATTCTATAAAAAAGTTTATACACTTAAGCGTAAGTTTATTTATAAAACAAGTTTATGAACTTTCTTTTTTATTTACAAGTTTATAACTTACGTTTCTTTCTCTAAATCAAATTTATAAACATGTTATTTTATAAAATAAGTTCATAAACTTAATTCTTAAGTTTATTTATAAATCAGGTTTATGAACTTGAGTTTTCTTATTTGCAAGTTTATAGAATCAAGTTTATTTTGTAATCCAAGTTTATACACTTAAGCTTTAGTTTATTTTATAAATCAAGTTTATGAACTTTAATTTTTTACTTACAAGTTTGTAAACTTAAGTTGCTTAATTTACTAAGTTTATGAAATTAAGTTTATTTTTATGAATCAAATATATAAACTTGAATATTGTAAACTTTTTGCTTACAAACTAATACAAATTGTAATAAGTTTACAACCTTTTTACAAACTTTAATTAACCTATTATTTTTCTCACCTGATCCATAAGTATGCAAAATATAGACAAATATACAACAAATGTTATAATCACATATGGTAATGGTAGAGTTTCTGTTGTTCGTTCAACCCAGTCCCAATTTTCAGATTCAAACATGTCCAGTTTAAGATAATCCCAATTATAATAACGAAATCCAAGTGTAGAATGAGGTGTTAAGTAAAGAACGAAGAAAGGAAGGCCTTGAAGAAGGGAAAGAGCAATAAGCCAGTTGAAGAGGATTTCTTCTTTCCTTTCACTCAATTTGGCGGGAAGGAAGACTAGCAGCCGATTAATTGCCAAAACTAAGCAAATTGGCCAGTTAAGTAAGGAAAGTGAATTTGCTAGACCGCCGGCTATCTGAAGGAAAGAAAAGCTTTATTTTTAGATTTTTTAGTGTTTTACTTTTTCGGCATAGAAACTGAAGGAGTTGTCGAATATGCATATTATACCACCTAAAAAATATTTTTTGTTAAGATTGTTTTAAAAAATAAACTTAAAATTAAATTAGGTTTACTTAATTTAATTAAACTTGCGCACTTAAACTTAAGGTACGTCTAAAACAAGTTGAATTATTAAATTAAAAAATAAACTTAATTTACAAACTTAAGTTTAATCAAAGTTGTAAGCTTAAACTTAAGATTAAGTTTAATTAATTTAATTAAACTTGCGCGCTTAAATTTAAAGTACATCTACGCACTTGAACTTGAAACAAGTTTATTTATTAAATTAAAGAATAAACTTAATTAAAGTACAAACTTAAGTTTAAGCCAAGTTTGTGAGTAAGCTTAAACTTTAAATTAAATCATGTGTTAAACTTAAGTTTAAGCTTACTCACAACTCACAAACTTGAGTTTTGAACTAAGTTTAGTGAGTAAGCTTAAACTTACTTAAGTAAGCTTTTAGTGTGTAAAATTTGAAACTCTCTAAATAACCTCATAAAATAATTAACGTACCATAAGCATGAACTACAAGTTGAATACTATCAGCTATCGAAATAAAAAGCATAATTCTGTAGCAAAGATGATTGCGCAAGTCTTTGTAGAAGCAGAAAACCTTTAAATTTTTTTTATCATTTTTCACTGATAAAATTAAGATCAAAAAATAATAAACTGCTTACAAAAATAACAGACAATTGAAGAATCAGGAAAATAATCGCAGAAAAGAAATAAAGAGATCCAATGATGATACGCTCCTGAATCGGAGCTCCTTGTCTAGTCCAATACAAAGCTAAATTGCCATCTACTGTCATTTCTGTAAATATTAATTTTATTAGGTTATTAAATTTGAGTTTATAAGCGTAAAAAGAGTAAAAAACTGATACTTAAAATAAGGAAAGTTTAGAATAAAAAATCATAATAAATTATAATGCACGTGATTTTTATTTTACTAGGCAATTTTAGCTTATATGTATTTTCTATTTTTTAAACAAGTTAAAAATTTTTTTTAGTAATATTTATTTAATTTAATAATTTTAAGCAAATAATTCTAAAAAATTTTTAGTTCAAAAAAAAATTTTTTTAATGACTTTAGATATTTTTAGAAAAAATTTTATTAATCGGGTTAATTAAATTATATGGAGGAAGTATTTTCTTTTTGATATTCGTAGATGTATAATTAAATGCTACACGAAAATAAAATTGAATTGAAATTAAATTAAATTTTCAAAAATTATATCATTAACTTCTAGTTCAAACTGCAAATTATATTTTCATTTTTAATAATTTAACAGACATAGAAATTATATGAATGTCATAAAAAGTAATATACATAAGTATTTAGTTTCTAAAATGTATCGGTATGTAGAAGAAAGTCTGGGCTTTGGGCTTAAGTAGAGTTGGGCAGTATCGGGATTTCGACACATACGCGAGATCGGCATTTCGGAATAAAGACCAAGATTCCTCCCGGATTGACCGTAATCTGTGGGATCGGGCTTTATATTTAGGTTTAAACCCTATTTTCAGATACCCACATTCATCCTGCTGCCTATTAAATACACATGAGTATTTGGTAAACCTCTGTATAGTCTACGGATCAGGGTTTCACGCAATTGCGGATTGTGAGTTGCGGATTGCGTTTGCGGAAGTTCAAGAAAAAATTGCGAGTTACTGATGTTTAAAAAAATTGAGGATTGCAAGTTGCGAGTTGCGGAACGGATTGCCCTAAAGGTGCACAAAAATCAGTTTTTAATGTATTAATATCTTTTAAAGAGGCGCATAAGCAAATTATTCGCTAGAATAAACTAAAAATTATGTATATACCTATTTCTGTAAATAACAGCAAAACTTAAGGCTTTCTGTTAAGTTTGGAACATAAAATTAATTTTCTAATAAGAAATAAATAAAAAAAATTGTTTTTTTATTTAAGGAGTGTTTAATTTGTAACAAATAAAAAAAATTATTTTTTATTTTTTCCATATTTGGCAAGATACCAATTATTTAAAATATATTTTTGGTATATTATTATTATTCATTTTAATAATATTATAAAATTAAAGGCTATCCCATTATATGTATAAATTAAATTAATTTGCAATTTATTTTAAGATATAAATTGAAAATAAGGAAATTTTTTTAATTTGAATTTTGTTCTGAAAAAATAAACATTCCCCCTTTTAATTGAGATAAGAACTAAAATAGAAAAAGATATCGTTAACGGCTGAGACTTTTTTGACGATAGCCTTTATGTATGTAAAATTCAGGATTTATCAGCAGAACTGTCTGAATTTCGATTTTCGAAGATTTTTGTTTCGAAACAGAAGTTTAGCATTCTTGAAAAAAAACTAACTCGTTGATTAACAACCAAAAAATATCGGGCTCTATCATCAACCTACTTGAATAGCAATACTGAAATTAAATTAATTTGCTCTCAGTGATCAAACAAACTCAGTGATCAAACTCTCAAAAACACATCAGGAATCTAATCGTTCCAATGAAATTCCCTATATGGGTTTTGGGTCGTGAATCTTGATTCTCAGTATCGAGAATTATCTATTATATAGGCAGATTCCAATTTTACACTGATTCCAATTTTACACTTTAATTTTTATCAATCCAATTTTACACTGATGCCGAGATTTTTAATTTTTATCAATTTCCTAACTGTCCAAAATCACTCTAAAAATTCATTTTCTAATTAATTATCTAGTTATTCGATCAGCATTTTAATATTATATTTTTAAAGCGATTGATTTTACATAAAAATATGCAACGCATGCATTCCTTGACCCATTTTAGAGCGAAAATAAATTTATTTGGTTAAATTTTAAAATTCGTATTTTCGTAATTAAAAATTATTTCTCTTTAAAATGCCCCAATCTCGATCAGAAAATCAACATAAGCATCATACCCCCTCAAATATATTAATCACTGGAGGTTGTGGATTTATCGGCTCCAATTTCCTGAATTATATATTTGATAAATGGCCAAATTCAAAATTTGTTAATGTAGATAAATTAATTTTAAACAGTGATTGCAACTATGTGGACAGTAAAATACGTAATTCTGATAGATACAAATGTGTGCTGACGGATATAAAAAATAAACAAATTTTAAAAAGTGTTTTGGTCGAGAATGAGGTGAGGAGAGACAATTAAATAATTAATTAATAAATCAGGGGGATAAATAAAATAATTGATAAGAACACAAAAATCAGAATAAACTTAAAAATAAAAATCGGAATAAAATCAGAAATTAATTTTTTAACATAGCAGAGTTTTTAAAATTCTGTTTAAAAATCAGAATTTTTAATTTTATCGGAGCGGGTCAGGGTACGCATGCCCTAGGTGCCGCAAAGCTATAAATAGATTCAGAATTGTCGAATCTGGCACGCCCTGGTATGATTCTAGTAAGCTCATCGAGTCGCATCAAACCATTCAAGGACGCACGGATTTTACGGTCCCTTGGGCATGTGGTACCTTGGGCTTATGATACCTTGGGGTGTACCCTATTCTTATAAAATTTATTAAATTAAAGAATTAATTTTTAAATCAGAATATAATTTCAGAATAAAAATAAGACTATTATTTTTCTTATTTTGAACTAATTAAAAAATATAAAATTTGCGTGTTTTAGCCCAAGTTTTTTTAAATTTATTTTTTTACATGGGAAAATAAATACAAAAATTTTTTTTATAAAATATGTAGGTGTTTGTTAAGTTTATAAAATATTTTTTAAATTATTTTCTCATTAATTGTACGATTTTCTGGCTATTAGGACATAAAAAATGGACTTTATTATTCTTGTAATTTACGCAATAAATATATTTTTTAGGTGGCAAAAAAATATTTTTTAAATTTTAGTCTTATGTACCAGGGGTGTGCGAGTTTCGCGTTTCGCCTTTCGCGGATTTTTGCGTTTTTTTGGACTTTCGCGTTTCGCGTGTGGCTTTTTTAAATTTACTTTCGCATTTCGCGTTTCACTTTTAAAATTTAATTTCGCCTTTCGCCTTTCGCGTTTCGCTTTTTAAAATCCGTTTCGGCACACCCCTGTTATGTACTTAATAGGTAAATTAACGAATAATTGAATTTTAAAAAGTGAAAAAATTAACAGAAATGAGGAAATAATTTTTATGAAATTTTCTTCAGAAACATACCGGCTTTTCTAGCAATCATATTCATTAATTAAATTTCGAATTTTGAAGCAAAAATAAATTGAAATTAAAAAATTAATTTTTTGAAGATTTTACGTTAAGCGTCTTTTAAAAATAAGTTGAGAAAAAAAATTTTAAAAATTATTTTTTTAATTAAATAGAATATTTTATAAAATATTTTTTTAATTAATAAATAAAGGTTAATTTAATTTTCGAATTTAAAATTTAATTTTAAAATTATAAAATTTAAAATTTTTTAATTTGTTTATATATGCGCTACAAAAATAATTTTTTAGAAAAAAAATTTTTTTTAGAAAAATAAATTTTTTTCTTGTTACTTCCAATAATTTTGTATTTAATTCTATAAATTTTTAAAAATTTTTGAAAAATTTTCTTTTAATTCCCAGATAGATACAATTATCCATTTTGCTTCGGATTGTACTAGCATTCGTTGTTATCTACAACCGGAAGAGGCTATTGAGAACAATGTAATAGCCTTTTTGGAATTTTTGGAATTAATTCGAATTTATGGAAAAGTGAAGAAATTTGTACATATCAGCACGGATGAGGTTTCGGAAAATTTGAAAAAAAATTTATAAAATTTTAAAATTAAATAAAAAGCTATTTTTAAATTTAGACTAAATAAAGAAATAAAATAGACCTAAAAATATACATTTAACTATAAAAATTAATTCTCTTAAATGTCTAGTTAAATGGAAAATTTAAAGAAAAAAAAATTTTTTCTTTAAATAATAATTTAATAAGAATACAAAATTAAAAAAAAAAAATTTTTTTTAATTTTTAAATAATTAAAATTAGAAAAAAATTAGAAAAAAAAAATAAAACAAAAAAATGAACTGAAAGATTAAAAAAAATTTTTTTTTTTGTAAATGCCAAGTTAATTTTAAAAATTAATTTAGTAATTTTCAAATGTAATTGGGGAAATCTGGTGTCTGTTTTTTTGTTCTTGGAAATTTAAAAAATTAAAAAATTATTGTCTTGGAAATTTAAATATATGTACCTGTAGCAAATTTCAAGGGCTTTCGAATAAGACCAAAACGAAAATTTAACAGAATACATAGGGGGTCGAAAATATTTTTAAATAAAGCTTACCCTATTTTAGGGTGATTTTTGAAGTTTCAGGAAATAAATTTAGGTCAGAAAAAAAATCAGAAAAAAATAAAAAAAAAGTCAGAACGAAATTAAAAACGTGAAATCAGAAAATCAGAATTTATTAAAAATTCTGAAAAAAAATCAGAATAAAATTCCAGAATTAATAAAAATATTAACAGGTCTATGGTGATTCTGAATTTGGAAGTAAAGCAGAACCAAAAACAGAAAAAGAACCGTTGCTGCCTGGAAACCCTTATGCTGCTACTAAAGTAAAAATTGACTCAAAATACAGTGAGGTGCAAAAGTTTGGATCATTTTGTTGTAAATTAGTTAATCAATAATTTTTCGTTCATTTCTCAGTGAATGGTCTGGATTAAAAATTTTTAAAATAGCTATAAGTGTCCTCTATACATTGATAATAAAAGTTTTTAAATATCTTTAGATATTCTTATATTTTACCTTTAAAATATTTTATACCTAAAAAATGAGAGGTGCAAAAGTATGGAACATTTTTGATTTTGCTGTTTTTTTATGCAAAACTCCAAAGAAAAAAATCTATAAAATTTTCATCGGACTTAAATATTGATATTGTAATAGAATAAAAAGAAACTAGGTCCATATCGTTACCATGACCGGAGATCATGACACTTCGAAAATCAACGTAAAATGGGGGTAAGTCACTTTAAAAAATATTTTCGACCTCTTATGGGTTTTTCTGAATTTTTATTTTGGGCTTATCTGAAAGCCCTTGAAATTTGCTACAAGATAGCATAAATCTTGTTTTTCAGAAAAAATTCAGTCGGGGGATAAGGACCTGTTATGTATCGTCTTGCGGTGTGTCCGATACTAACAGAAACAAGACTTGACTAACAACAAAGTTTATCACAAGCAACAATACAATAGAAATAGGCGAGACTGTGCGTTGGCTTTGACTAGACTATGGGCTAACTGTAGACTGACTAACTAACTCCTCGACTACTAAAAGGCTTCGCCTTTTATACTAAGCCGCCACCCTAACACCTCCCTTCTTTAATTAAGTCGGGACTACGCTTCCGACTAGACTTGGTGGACTTCAAAAAAACTACTAGCCAACGCAAACAAAACATTGAAAATACATACAAAGGGCCAAAATACAATGTGAGCAAACAAAAAGGGGATATACAATAATTACAAACAAAAATTTACAAAAACAATATTATCACAATTATTTACTTCTTATTTACATTCCCTCTATTTCCGATCATCTTCCGTTCCAGTGCTCGCGTGCATTGGCTCATCTTTTTGCTTCATGTTTTCTTCGCTCACAAGTTCGATGTCCACGTCCTGCAATTCGTCTTCTTTCTGGAGGATCCGGATGTTCTTCTTAAAGATCGCTGAAAGTTTCTCTTTGTCTTCTGCCCCCAGACTTTCAACCGAGCTCGACCTTTGATCCTCTTTTGATTGACTTTTCATTGTTGCATCATCGAACCACTTTTTCTTTCGAATAAACCACTCCTCACGGCTGACTATGCTACGCAATGATGGCACTTGGACTTTCCAAATTTGCCCGACTTTGTTCATCAACTTCCCTGCTAACCACATTGTTTTACCACTACGATTCGTGTTTTTGACTAAGACTTCCATTCCATTTTCGAATTTATTCGTTCTTCGCCAAGCTTTCTTCTTTTGACTATGGAATGGTTTCTTCGATTCTTGACTATTGAATTCTTTATTTCGAATCGGCGTCTCTTGTATCTTGGACTTTGGGCTTCTCCAATCTTTCCACTTTTGACTTTTGTTTTGACTTCCTCTTGCAAAATATTGCGACAAGACTGGCGATTTTGTCCCGAATTTGTTTAACCACGGAAGTCCCATGATATTAATGTTTCCTTCGACTATGTGGACTTCTTCTTCCGAGGTTTTCCCAAATAACTCAACCTTGACCTTGACTTTGCCTTCTATCTTGAAGTTCGATTTGCCTAACCCGACTCCAGAATAATTGACTTGACTAATCTCAGGCTTGCCCAAATCGTTCCAGGTCGCTTCGGTAATACAATTGATTTGTGCCGCTGAATCGACAATCATCTCAACGTTTTTGTCGTTTAACTTGACTGACTGTGTAATCCATTTCTCTTTTAGCAGAATCTGTGTCGGATCGACAATATCGGCAATACACACATATGGACCTGAATTATTAGGGTCAATAGACATATAATTAACTTCTGGGCGACTATTACGATTTAACCAACCTCTAGGGTATCTACAGAATCGGCTAATGTGTCCCCTCTTCCCACAATTATAGCACTCCTTCTGTCCATATTGTGGACGACTTGTCTGACTAAATTGTCGATCATTGACTTGACTATGTTGACGTTCTTCTCCTTGACTGAATTGATTCCTTTTGTCCTTTTCGTCTTTACTACTTTTCACATTTTGATTGACCTGAATAGTTTTACTAATATTATTCACCTCCACAGAATATTCAGGTTCAAATCTGACCTTTGACTGGTTATCCGCGAATACCTTTGCATCAGACTTATTTGCCAAATAGCTACGGACTTCCTCCATCAATGCCTTCAATGTGCATACTTCTGACTTTGAATATTTCTGTACGAATCTCAGACTGATTTGCCGGACATCTAACGCTTCCTCTGGAATGCCTGCAATGAACACAAGAATTTTACTTTCTTCGACTGTCAACGCCATTTCCGCCTTTTCACATTCTGCGTTTACTAGAGTTCCAAACTCAAGAATTTTTTCGATACAAGGGCATTTCATTTTAATGACTTCGAAACGTTTGACTAATTTGGAACGGGGATCACAGAATTCCTTTTTCAACTCTCCGACTAATTCCCCAAAGTCCATCTCAACTAATTCTCTGGGCAATAACTTTTGCGCCATCTTCGAATACTCAACTTGCCCTAACTTATCTACTAACAACCGGACTTTGACTTTTTCCTCTAAGGACTTGGCGTCTACCTCGAAGTAAGACTTATTTTTGAGGTACCATGACTCAAATGTGACCCCCTTTTCGATGTCTGCCTGGAACTCTGTAACTAGCGTCTTCAACTTACAGTACAAGTCTGTTGACTGTTTCTCCTCCGACTTTGGTTCCTCTGACTTTTTGCCTTTCATCATCTCCAGCATCTGAGCTTGCAATTGTTGCATCTGTTGTGACTGAGCTTGCATCTGAATTTGCGACTGCAGGAATTTTTCAAGAATTTGCTGATCCATCTGAATTGACTAATTATTTTACTACTGACTAATGCAAACTAACTTGAATTGTTCGAATAACTGCGACCGCGCCACTGTTATGTATCGTCTTGCGGTGTGTCCGATACTAACAGAAACAAGACTTGACTAACAACAAAGTTTATCACAAGCAACAATACAATAGAAATAGGCGAGACTGTGCGTTGGCTTTGACTAGACTATGGGCTAACTGTAGACTGACTAACTAACTCCTCGACTACTAAAAGGCTTCGCCTTTTATACTAAGCCGCCACCCTAACAGGACCGTTTATTTTTCAAAAGGGCATTTTATGGGGCATTTAGGTGTTTTTTGATGTGTTAGAAAGATCAATGGTCCTTATCTCGCTATCAAATTTTTTCAGAAAAATCTTATTTACGTTATCTTATAGCAAATTTCAAGGGCTTTAAGATAAGCCCAAAATGGTAATTCAAAACTATGCATAAGGGGTCGAAAATATTTTTTAAATTTGAAAAACCCCGTTTTACGTTGATTTTCAGGGTAGTGAGATCTCCACAATGAATTGAGTTATGGGCCTAGTTCTTTTTTATTTTCACTTATTATCGATCAATATACATGTTTCAATTTTTCTAGATTTTTTTGTTTTGATTTTAACATTAAAATATAATGAAATCAAAAATGTTCCAAACTTTTGCACCTCTCATTTTTTAGGTATAAAATGTAAATAGGGTAAAATATAAAAATATGCGAAACTAATTAGGAACATCTATGGTCATTTTATAGAGGACACTTATAGCTATTTTAAAAAATTTTAATCCAGACCATTCACTGAGAAATGAATGAAAAATTATTGATAACTAATTTACATGAAAATGTTCCAAACTTTTGCTCCTTACTGTATTTTAAAAAATAATTTTAAAAATCAAGGCGATCAGTGAATATTATGTCCATTTATATCAACAACTTTATGGGCTTCCATTGTGTACTTTAAGAATAAATAATATTTATGGCCCTAATCAATGGGATGTTAAGGTAGTTTTGGTACTATCTAAAAATTCAGAATCAGAAAAAAAATCAGAATATCAGAACAAAATTTAAGAATAAAAATTATGAGAATTCTCACAATCAGAAAAATCAGAACGATGATCAAAAATCATAACAAAAATCAAGGAAAATCAGAAAGAAAATCAGAAGACTAGAAAATTTCAGAAAAATCAGAAAACCAGAAAAGATCGTCAGAACTAAAATCAGAATCAGACAATGAATAATCAGACAATAATTTGAAAAAAAGATTAAAAAAATAAGAAAAAATCAGAAAAATTAGCAAAATTCGAAAGAAAATCAGAAAATCAGAAAAAAATCAGAAAAAAATCAGAAAATGTCAGAACAAAAAAAATTTTAAAAAAAGTCAGAACAAAATCAGAATAATTAAGCTAGTTCCTCGATTTATTGAAATTGCCCGGAAAGGAGGTAAATTCCCTGTACAGGGAAGTGGAGACCAGCTTCGATCATGGTTGTATGTTGACGATGCTTCTGAAGGTATCCGGTTAGCAGTTGAAAAAGGAGGAATTGGAGAGATTTACAATCTGGGCACCTATGTTGAGTTGAATGGTAAGAAGCTTTATAAAATCTTAAAAATCGTTCTGACTAAGGTAGTTGTTGGTGGTGAGCGAAAAATCTAAAAACACCTAGCATCTAGGCTTTATCAATAAACGTCCCGATTTATTCCAAAAAATAAAAGGATTGGATTTACCATAGCAAGGTTGGTAGCTTACCCAAGCACCGTCTAACCATCCCACACTTGGCTGGTAGTGTTATATCCAAAGGGAACTTTGCTGGTCTTCAAGGATGACTAGTCCTCCTCTAACAAGTCCTAACCTAAGCTTCTAGTGAATAAAAATAATTTTAATAAATTTTAGTAAAACAAGTAGCAGATCGTGTCCAGGCGGAAGTCAATCGTCAATTAGGCGTTCAAGGAGAAGTAGAATTTGAAAAAATTCAAGACCGTCCTTACAACGACCAACGATATTTAATTGACTATTCTAAAGCTAAAGAAGAGTTGGGATGGGAACCGAAAATGTCGTTTGAGGAAGGTAAATAGGTATTTGTGATCTTATGTGATTTTCGGGCCGGGAGGTACTACAGGAAGGACATTCAGGAAGGTATTGTCTGAAACTGACATTTAAGATTCACATATCAGGACGATTATTTCTAAAAAGTCTTTTCAAGAGCACTTTCTATAGGATATTCAGAGGCTCCTAAAATTACCGTCCATAGAACCCCCCTGCATGATACGTCTGACCTCCATTTTTATAGGTTCATATATTTTTTATTTGTTGGGTTTTGGAGAGAAATTTGAATGAATTTTGCCGAATTTTTGTGATTTTTACCGATCCTTTGAAGATTCACCCTTACAATTCTCTCAATTAAAGTTTCTTTAAATTTAAAAGGCCTTGCACTCGCTGTCACTTCACATTTACGCACCAAAACTGAACCTGAGCAAAAATTGTCTGTTATAATTTATGGAGGTAAAGGATGGGTTGGGCTTCAAGTTCAGCAAGTACTTGAGGAAAAAAGTATACCATATGTCTTGGCTAAATGCAAAATTGGAATTGATTCAGAGGAAAACGTAGGCAATAATAAAATTTTTCAAAATGTCAGAATTTCAAAGTGTCAAAAACTTCATAATTTTAATATTTTTCGATTTTCGAATAAGAAAGCCTTATCTGTAATTTTTTAATGGATTTATTGTAGCAGGGATCAAGCCGATCCGATTCACATTCCCTGAAATCGGGAATTGAATTTTTGTCGCGAATCCCTGTTCTAGTTTCCCGAAAATCGGGAATTTAATTTTTATGTCGGCTAGATCTCTGATATGTAGATCCCTGACATGTAGATCCCTAACATGTAGATCCCTGATATCATCCTAGATTCCTGATATGTAGTACTCAAATGCATTTAGCAATAGAAATTAACTTCACTCATTTTACCGTATACCTATATGACGATTCCTCTTTAACTGAGGAATTGGAAAAGGGGGAATTTTATTTTCGAGTCGAGTATTATCTACATATTTATAAAACTTTCTGATATGTTGAAAATGTTATTTTTGTGCAAGTATCAGAAAATATTTAATTTTAAGGTAATCGAGGAACTTCTCCAATTGCGTGGAACTCACGTCCTTTGCTGTACGGGAAGAACACATGGAGGGAATTATAAAACGATTGAATATTTAGAAGGGGGACCCGAAAAAGATTTTGAAAATATTAGAGACAATCTTTACTGTCCTCTAGCTTTGGCTATAATTTGTAAAAAATGTAAGCTTATCTTGGAGGAGGATTAATAATTCCCCTCAATTTTCAGTGGGACTTCACTATAGCTATATAGGCACAGGATATTTATTTGCTTACGACGAAGGAAGGCACAAAGTTGGAGGTGTACCTTTCAGTGAAAAAGGTATGTTTTAGCCTTGTTTGGGGATCAGAATGACCCATAAACCTTAAGGTTCTGCCAAAAAAGGCTGGTCACGTTCCCGCTTTCCTTTACATTATTTCTGAATAATAAAGGTTAAATTTCCGGGCATATTTAGCAATGATGTGGTGGTTCTATATAACTTCGATATGAGTAACTAGAGACCGGTATTTTCAAAAACCCTGGGTCTTGATCTGGATTTAGGTTAGTAACTGGTCAGGATCTGGATCCAGGGAAAATCCATATCCAAAAAGAATCCAGGACGATCAAACTATGCCTGGATCTTGACTCTTGATCCAGGAAAAATCCAGACTGGATCCGCATCCAGACCGATCTCTACAAGAACTCTATTAGGGTTTAACAAAGGTTCAGCAAAGGTTTAGCAACCGAGCATGAACCAAATCTGCGATTACACTGAAAGTATTCTCATGGTCTCGCTTACACCATAAAATTTTTAGATCTGCCTACGTTCTTTGGAAATTCTTATTCTGTCGTAAAAGGCTTCACTGATAGAATGATCCAACGGCTTAACTATCAAGAATGTTTAAACGCTCGTATCACACTTCCATTAAATTTTGATTTGGAAAGTGACCGAAATTTGCTCTCAAAAATTATAAAATATAGGTAGAAATAGTCAAAACGATTTTTAAAAAGTTCAAAAAATTTGTAGGCAAATTTTCGACATACCAGTTTCAATCACTATAATGCCTGATTGCTTGCCTGCTTTAATCCAGTTAATGATTAAACGACATACGGGTACTATAAACTTGGTCAATCCTGTACCTATAAGTCTGGCAACAATTTTGGATTTGTACAGGGAGGTTGGAAAACTTTTTAATATTTTCTTTCAAGTAATAAACAGTGCTGGGGTGGTGCTGGGGGTATTGGCCGTTTTGTGTCTCCGACTCCGACCCTTTTTAAATTCACGACTCAGACTAATGAAATTTCAAGATCTTAGCATTGTAGCAAGCTCCCGGAGCCATATTTGTTGTTGTTTGGGGTTTTTAGGAAGTGAAGAGAAGCTGAAGAATTTTTTTCTTCGGTTCGGTTCAACTGAGGAATTTTTGATTCGCCGGAACCGAACCGAAGAACTCTCTTCCTCAAACCGATGAACAGACTCTCTCTCTCTCTCTTTCTCTCTCTCATCCCCTCTTTAAATCGGAATTTTGGCATCGATCTAATCAATATAATGAAGAAGGATCATATTATTATTATTATTATTTCCCTAAATTTCCCAAATTTTTCAGCATTTTGACTCTTCCCTTCCCGAATTTGAACGTATTTCAATTGAATCTGAATTAGGACAACAATTATACGCAACTAAAGGAAACTGTGCTTTGGACACTTCACTTTTGGAAAGTTTGTGTCCTGTTAAATCGAGTTATGAATCTTTAATTGAAAATTTTAAGAAAATGAAGAAATTGAAATGAATTTCTTGATTTACTTGAATTATTTATTTAATGGACTTTTAATAATAAAAGTGTTTCTTGGCATTTTAATGTACATATTTAGTTTGAGTGTAATTAAGGCTCACAATAAAATCGAAAGGAATGTAGGAATAAAAGACTTCATTCAGTTTGAGGTATTCAATCTAGGAGATATAATTCTCCAGACCTACATATCCATGGAGACATAATATCCATACCCGTGGATATCTGCGGATACGTATGGATATGGGGTACAGCCCAAAACAGCGCGGGCCAAAACTACGCGACCGAAACTACGCGACCGAAACTACGCAGGCCAAAACTACGCACGCCCAAAACTACGCAAAACTATTTAGTACATTCAAATTTAAAATCTGCTGTTGATCAATTGATCACTTTCTGATGATCACCCTTGATCAGTTGATCACTCACTGATGATTCTTTCTTTGGCATCCGGAAAATTGTTTCCTGAAAATCCGGAAAATTCAGGAAAATCTGTACTATTCCGGAACCATTTTCCGGAAAATATTTTTCGTTTCGGAAAATATTTTCCGGAAAATAATTATTTTCCGGAACTCGGAAAAATTCAACAGGAGCCGGTCTAAATAGTGGCCTTGCGTAGTTTTGGCCTGCGTAGTTTCGGTCGCGTAGTTTTGGCCCGCGTTGTTTTGGGCGTGTCCCATGGATATGTATAGTATTTTTTTGAAAAATCGGATACGAATATTGACCTCACGGATATAGCCGGATAACTGTCAATGTACACCTATATATCCGGATACGTGATATATCAGTGTCCAAGACAGGTCTGGAACTCTCGGTTGCTCACTTGATCAATTTGCGTTATATCAGTCAACTGCTCGATCAAGCTGTCGACCGGCCTCGATTAAGCTCCATTTCCTCTCATAAATAGGGTAATTTTGTCATCAAATTTTATTTAAAATTTTAATCAAATTTATTAAAAAATACTAAAATCTACTATAATAATAAAATAAGTATATAATTTGTATTTAAAAATACATATAATGTGGTGGAAAATATTTTTAAAAAAATTAGAAAGGCTGAAAGGTCAATATAAAATAAAAAATAATTTCTCCGATATCAAGTTTCAATTTCTTATCAAATTCAGAAAAGTAAAATATTTTATCAGAGAAATTATTTTTTAAGCATAAGTTGACTCAGGTTATAACTTTAACCTCGTACTTTGTAGGGGGAGGGGGGTACCGTATATGCTCTATTAATTACCCCCTTCAGCGAAAGGTTGAAACAATAATTACCCAGCGTAATTATTAGAGCATATACGGTAGTTATATCAGAATCAGGGGTGGACGCAATTAAAAAAATTTATCCACAAACGCAATCTGAAATTTCTTCCCCACTGATCAAATCCTAAAAAGTCCCGCATTTTACAGTTCAGCTATCGAATCCCGGATATCTTTCAGCTGGAACTGATCTAAAAAGCTTTGAGCTGATAGAAGCTAGATAGAAAGGAAAATTTTCATAGAGCATGCGGGTAAGTTAAGAAGGAAGCTACGCCAAAGATGAGCTTGGGGAATGTCTCGAAACAATTTCAAACATTTTAAAGTCTACGGGAAATTGTAGATCAAGTAAAATGCAAGGTATAACCTGATTCAACAAAAAAATTTTTTGCGTAAATTTAATTAATAAAATTAATTTAAGGAAGGGGAATCTAATATAGTTTCTAAGAAGAGTTAACACAATTAAAAAAAATATTTTTTGAAAAATATATGTAACAGAAAATAATACTTTACATCAGGGCTCTCATCGACAAAATGCCACTCAAAAGTATCAAAATCTCGATTAAAAAGTATATAGGGAGAAAATTTGCAAATAAAAAGTATACTCAAAATTAAATTAGAAAATAATTATTCGTCCTTAAATCTTTCATATTTCCCTCCTAAATGAATCTTTTCTAATAATTTCTTGTTTCCACTGAGCATTTTGTGCATTTCAATGCACATTTTGTGGCGCCGAAGGCAACAAAAAGTCTTCTATTTTTGCGTCGCAGGCGAAAATTTTTTGAAAATTGGAGGTTTTTAAGCCAGATTTCTTCCATTTTCAACGCCGCAGGCGAGAATTTTGAGAATTTTGGAGTCCTTAAGCCAGATTTCTTCCATTTCTTGCGCCGCAGGCGAAAATTTTTTGAAATTTGGAGCCCAAGAAGCTAAATTTCTTCCTTTTTCAGCGCCGCAGGCGAAAATTTTGATAATTTCAAAGGCCGTAGGCCGAAAAAATTCACTTTTTTGCCCAATCCCTTCCCCAATTTCATTTTCAATCCAAAATGTTGATTTAAAAGTAGATACTTTCAAAAAAGTATAAATTCAATTTCGTAAGCATGGAGGTCGATTTAAAAGTAGAATACTTTTAAAAAAGTATAAATGAGAGCCCTGCTTTACATGTATTCAAAGATGGGAATAGTAATTGTAATTAAAAATTAATTTTTGGTCCAATACGTAGTATTTTATTTGTTAATTTTTCAGAATTCTTAGGAATTTTTTACATGGAGCATTAAACATTTGAAGCTTTTTTTGATTTATACTAGGTTACCTAAATCTTCCACTTGGAGAATTGAGCCAAAAGTGAGTTGCAAAAAGGAGTGATGAATCTGAAGCCCCGGGAGCTATCAAAATTTTGTGAGATATCCACCAAGGACCAAAAATTTAATTTTTTATAGTAACAATAAAAAATAATAATTATATACAACTTGTAGGAATCGAATATCATCAGTAAGACTAAGAAAAATTAAAAAATTTTTGACAATTAAAATAGGGTTCAGCGTACCGGTAATCCGAGAAAAAACGGTATCGGTATTTAGGATTGATGATACCGATCCCGATACCGGTACCGACTCGGGATCGGGATTAGCCTAAATCGGTATCGGGATTTGAGTTAATGATATCGGTATCAGTAAAATCGGTATCGGTATTCAAAGAGACCGGTATAATACCGCCCGATACCGGTCGGTATCCCGATACCGCTGAACCCTAAATTAAAATACCAAAGTTTTACTAAAATAAGACCGCTGCTAAATCAAGCTTCTTTAACATAAAGTTAAATTTATTAATTCTACAAAGCTTATTTTAGTGAAAACATGTCATGTAATTTACATAGTTAATGCCTTATATTTTGAAATAAAACTTTTTGGATCTCTCAAAGATCTCTCAAAAGGAGAGCTTAAGTTAAGACTCCGAAGGGTTTACTCAGCTTTTTCGTTTTATTTCAAAATTTAAGGTATTTTTTATTTTTGGGAAATAAAATAGGTTTTTTAAAAACCAAAACGAATCGAAAGAACGGAGTATTGAAGGAGTTTAGGGCGAGGTAAAATTACATAGGCAGTTTTAAATATTGTTAAAATACAGTCGTCATTAAAAAAATAATTGAAAAACTCAAGCATTAGGTTAAATAAAATTAATAAAAATTAAATTATAGATTTAGAATGATTGAAAGGATTAAAGAGCTGAAAATAATTAGGGAGCTGTGTCGGGGGAAGCGCTTATACGTGGTAAGCATCAGCAAGAGGTGTTCGCTGGATTATATTAAATCATCATTGTCTCATATTCTTCCATTCATGATAAGAAATTCAAATTCATTGAAATTTATGAAGGGGAGGAGCCAAAGGGGAAGGAAGCATGGAAGGAACAGGCTGAAGAGACCGGACTCTGTTCCTGGGCCTGCTTTGAGGAGATCAAAAAATTCTATGCAAGGGTATTGAAAGCGCCAATTTGGCACAGAATTTTCGCACAGAACCATCTCACTCTCCCAAAATTTTCAAAAATTAAGACCCAAGCAAAATTAAGAATATTTCTCTCTCAATCCTTCTAAATTATAATTTAAATAAAAATATAGAAATAAAATAAAAATAATTTTTGTGTGGTAGGAATGGGAAACCCAAATAGTTTACTCTGGGACAAATCCAAAATTTTGCCAAAATTTGTGTGCTAGCCCAGAAATTTAAAATAATACAAAATATAGGGGAAGGGCTAAGCACAATTTTGGGGATATGCCCCACTGAAACTAAGTGACTTGAAAAAAATTTGAAAAAAAATTGAAAGAATCATAAAAATAATAGAAAAGTGAAGGACAATAAAATAAAGAAATTTTTGAAGAAAAAATAAAGGCTTTTTAAAATAAATTTTTTTGAAAGAATCGTGTGGTTAATTTTAAATTGAAATTTTAATTTAATGAAAGACGTTAAAAATTTAATAATAAATTTGTTGTGGTTGTTTGCGTTGTTTGTAGTAGAGAAATACAATTCCTGAAAACACATTGTAAGTGTAATACAAAACATTCCGGAAAATACTTTAGAAAACATAATAGGTGGTGATTCCGGAAAAGAGTAAAAAATATACTTATATACCTATTTCCGGAAAGATTATTAAAAATACAACCGGAAAAATGTATTTTATAGACAGTAATAGTTTCCGGAAAATACAAAAATTAATAACTAATATTTCCGGAAAACATGGGTAAATAGATTCCGGAAAATACAAAAGTTTATAAAAATTATTTTCCGGAAGAGTTATAGTTTCCGGAAAATACAAGAGTTAGCAATAATATTTCCGGAAAACACAGTTAAATGAATAGTTTGCGAAAAATACATTGTAAGTGTATTCCGGAAAATACAAGAGTTAGTAACTAATAATTTTCCGGAAGTTAAATAAATTGTTTCCGGAAAATACAAAAGTTTATAAAAATTATTTTCCGGAAGAGTTATAAAACACAATTCTGATTGAAATTAATTTCCGGAAAGGTATATTTGTAATTATAGACCTACCATAATTATCATAGAAAATATTCTGTTACATTCCATACTCATAGTATTTTTGTTCCCCCGTTTTTGGCTAGACTCTCATTGTAATTAGTAGACGAATAAACTTCTCCAACGGAAGCAAATCCTCCAAAATCGGATAAATCGTTTTTGACAGAAATTTTTTGGTTAAAATCAAACGAATGAGAAGACGAAGGGAAGGAACCGGAGCTATCATCAATTGGTGAATGGCTACTAAAAATTATTAAAAAATTTTAAAAATAATTTTTGAGAAGGTATTTTATTGTTTGATTAAGCCCCAAAAATAAAAAAAAAATTCTTCCCACCCAGCAGGACTGTGAGTGTCAGATCCATGATAACCAGAATCCTGTGTTGTTTTCCTTGTTAAAACCCCATCATTTTTTGCTGATCTAAGTGTCTCATAACGAGATTTTTGTTGGTACTCATCGCTATCCTCCTCATTATCACTTTGCTCAACAAATTCATTTAAATCACTACCAACAAAGGAAAATTGATCTATAGGATTGACAAAGAAAGGGAGGTGCTTAAAAATAAATTAAGTTAACATTTTGATATGTATATTATTTTTATGGAGGCTGCTATTACTAATTGATAAATATTATACCTATATTATTATACCCCCAAATATTATACCTATATATTACCTTCTTCCTAATTATCCTTTAAGCTACCAATAGAAGTGAAATAAAATTGAGGAAGGATTAACCCCTTGTATGAATATACATTAGAGTTTAAATGCGGATAGGATCTGGGTCCGGATTTTCCGGATTTTGATTCTGAAAGTCCGGTCCAGATAATAAAAAAATTTGAAGATCCGGAAACCGGATCCGGCATTTTTCAAATTTGAACTCTGATATCCATGGTTTACTCCCTGATTAAAATTCCACTTATTATATTTAGTACGTGTGCGTATCTTAAGGTAAAATTCGACTTTATTAAATAATACCATTCCGATAGGAGGAGAATGGCACTGGGGCCAGTTGTCTTTATGCCGCCTCAGTGCTAATGCCGATCTTCAAATAAAAATTAATTTAAAATTAGTTATTCAATTATTATTTTAAATTTTATTTCACCTGAATATCCCATTACAATTTCTACAATTATGGGGAGAATGATCCGCATGTTGTAAGAGGTGTGTCTGTAAATCCTGTTCCGTGTGGAAACGTTCAGTGCATCTAATTAAACAAATTAATTTTTTTTTAATTTTTAAATGGCTAAATCTTGCTTTTCACAGTGAAATTTATAAGTGTCCAATTCGTTGTGATAAGCCATATGTCTACCAAAATATTCGCGGCTAGGGAAGTAAAGCTTGCACTTTCGACAGTTAAACACCTGAATAAATAAAGTCTATTACCAATTTTTTATGTTGAGGTGCATGGAAAATTTTTTTGTTTAGTGGAGATATGTCTGGATTTGGTGTAAATAGGATTAATAAATAAATTTTAGCTGTTACGTGTCGGGATTTCTATACAGTAATTGTGAATGTGACAGTTAGTCGTCCTTCCATTTAGTGATTTCCTGGTTTTAAAAGCACGACAGTTTTTCTCCATGATTCGAGTTTTAGTAGGTATCTCCATGATTCGGTAACCTAAAACCGCGGCCATGGAACCAGGAAAACATTTAGAGATTTCTTATATTTCCATGCTTGCACTTTCGGCAGTTAAACACCTGAATAAATAGCCTATGACGCTTCTGTGGTTCCGTAACAGGAAACCTCTGCTCTACGCTGTTTACAGTGTTAAATTTCTTCTTACAATACATTTCAGATGTCCCTTAATTCCTAAATTAAAATTCTCTCTACCCTGTGTCTATTTTTGTGTAAATATTCCTCCAAGACTTCCGTCGATAATGTTCTATTTTCCTCAATAGATTCACTTTTATTATTAAATCCATTATCTTCATATTGCCCATTTAATTCACCCATAAAGGATGGTTTATTTGTTGCCAAGTTTGAACTGCTATTAACACTTGGGGAGCAATTATCATTCATAAACACCACTCCTTGTTGTGCCAAATAATTTGTATATGTTCCATTCAAATTTCCATTTTCCCCCATTCCATTACCCATCATTAAAAGCCCATTTTCTTCACTTTTGATCCCTGATGGATACTTTTGTTGCCCTGAAACATGCTGGGGAGAATACAACTCCTTGCCAAAGGTGGATGAAGGTGTTGGGGTAGTATTTATTGAGATTGTAGGATTGAGAGATTGTTGATGATTGACTGATTTAATTTAAAAATTAAAAAAATTTGATGATAAAATATAAATTAGGTAAAGGGCTGTTCGGAGTTGTCTAGGGCTGTTCGGTCCTGTCTAGGGCTGTTCAGACTTGTCTAGGGCTGTCCGGACTTGTCTAGGACTGTTCAGACTTGTCTAGGGCTGTTAGGTCCTGTCTAGGGCTGTTCAGACTTGTCTAGGGCTGTCCGGACTTGTCTAGGACTGTTCAGACTTGTCTAGGGCTGTTCGGTCCTGTCTAGGGCTGTTCAGACTTGTCTAGGGCTGTCCGGACTTGTCTAGGACTGTTCAGACTTGTCTAGGGCTGTCCGGACTTGTCTAGGACTGTTCAGACTTGTCTAGGGCTGTTCGGTCCTGTCTAGGGCTGTTCAGACTTGTCTAGGGCTGTCCGGACTTGTCTAGGACTGTTCAGACTTGTCTAGGGCTGTCCGGACTTGTCTAGGACTGTTCAGACTTGTCTAGGGCTGTTCGGTCCTGTCTAGGGCTGTTCAGACTTGTCTAGGGCTGTCCGGACTTGTCTAGGACTGTTCAGACTTGTCTAGGGCTGTCCGGACTTGTCTAGGACTGTTCAGACTTGTCTAGGGCTGTTCGGACCTGTCTATATGTCTTCTTTATTAGTTCAGAAAAGGTGCATGAGTGCATGACCAACCATTAAATTTAATTGCGTATTTCTAAATTCAATTGCGGACTTCCTAAAAGTTTTTTAAATTCTAGTGAGCCTTATTTAGAGGATCTACATATTACTCATAAGTATATGAGGATGGTCTTTGAGAATATCTACCAATTACATAATTAAAATTAATTATTTACCCCCATTAAGTTGCTTATCATTATTAAATTGTTGTTTCTGATTTTGCAACATTTGTATTTTATGCTCTTTCAATTTTTTCTTGTCGGCTGATCTAGTATATGCTCGACGCCGGTATCTGATAAATTAAACAAATTTAAAATTTTATAAAGATTACTAACGGATGTCCAATCATATTGAACTCGCCGGCAACTAAAAGACGATTCCGTTCGGGGCATTTGTGTTGGTACAGATTTGAACGAAATTTATAGGTCTAAAGATTATTATTTTTTCAACAATATTTATTTAAAATTTTAATTTTATTTATTATTTACCTTCATACAAAACCGGCATTTAAATGGCCTATCATTACTGTGTTTAACTGCATGCTGAAAATATTTTCCGGAATAAATTTATCTTTTTGCGTGTTTTTCCGGATAGCTTCTTTAATTTGTTATCATGAACTGACCAGAATATATATTCCGGAGGTTAATTTCCGGAATATGAATTCCGGAAGAAATATATTCATACTTTCCGGGGTAAATTTTTTCTTTAAACTTTTCCGGAATCAATGTCTATTTTCAAGTAAACGTAATAATAATTTCAATACTTTCCGGAAAATGTCTTGATTTATAATTTCCGGAAGCCCACAAATATTAATATAATTTCCGGTATATGTATTTCATCTATAATTCCTTTATGATTATTTTCCGTACTATTTCCGGACTTAGAAATAATTTATAAAATATTTATTATATACCTGTTTTAAGTACCAAACAGAGTTGAACAGCTTCCCACATTCAGAACATGCACATTGCTGATTCTTTTCCAACGTTATAGTTAAATTGTCAACTTCCTGGGGTGAAATAACAATGGGAGGAGGTGGAGGAGCTAACGGGGAATGGTCTGAAACTTGAAGAAATGAACCAGGTGAAGATGAAGATGCTTCGTTTTGAGGGTTGTTATATTGATAGACGAACTCGCTAAAATATTAGCAAGTTTAATTCAATATTTTTAAGGTCTTATTTTTATGGAAGCTTCTTACGGAACTTTTTTTAGGAATAAATAATAATTAATGTAGTAGGTAGGTATTTCAGTATTTCCGGAATTTATATTTTCCGGAAGGAATAATAAAAATAAAATATAAGGTTTCCGGAATCAAATGTATTTTCCGGAAATTAATAAAAATCAGTATATGTATAAGATTTCCGGAATTTGATATTTTACGGAAAACACAAAAAAAACACAAAACACTAAAACATTTCCGGAAATTTGTTGTGAGAAAAACATTTGTTTTTGTGTTTATATGTTTCTCAACCTTACTAACCAATGTTTCGAACATGTTCTTCCTTTTAATTGTAAAAAAACATTGTTTTAAATTAATTCTGGTCTATGTTTTTAAACATGTTTGGGAATGTTTTATTGTTTATTTCTGTTTTCATGTTTCTAGCAACAAAACAAATACCTTTCTTCCCTATCTCTAACAATGTTGTTGTTTCCATTATTTAAATAATTCCCATTAATATTATTGTTGTTCTCGTATTTAATGTTTTGTTCAGTAAACTGGTGCCATTCACCCACAGAATTGTTTAAATTTCCATTAGGCTTGACAACATGATTAATCTCACTAAATTCAACCTCCTCTTCCTCAAACTCATCCTCTTCCTCAATTTCTTCATTTTCTTCCTTTTCTTCTTTTTTCTCCTCAATATTCATCTCCTCTTCTTTTCTTCCTAAATTAGCTTCATCCTCCCTCCCATCTCCTCCTTCCTGCCCTATTGTAGCAGCCAGTTGCCTGCTCATACACAAATCGCCATCACTCAAAGCACCCCACTCGCTTAAATCAACAAATTCGTCAATCAAATTATTAAAGTCTGGTGTATTTTCTGATAGGGGGGAAGAAGATAATTTTTGTGAGAAGGAATTGAATGAAGTTGTTGGCTTAATTAGAGTTAGAGGGTCATCAGAAGTGCTCTCTTCTTCCATCCACAAACCTTCTCAGGCAACTTTAAATTTTTTAATATTTAATTTGAAAATTAAATCAGAGATAATTTTTATAAGGTAAAGAGGCTATAGTGTTTTCTCGATTCCTTGAACCGGTTACAGAATACTTTTTCCATTACAACATGGAGGTGGAAGCGCGGAAGCATTCAATACATAAATTGTTAAATTTGTGGGAACCGAGGAAACGTTGCGGAAAAAATTAAGACATGGGGAATACATATTAATAAGATTTTGGTTTAATACTATCAGTGCTATAGGTGGCTCATGGTAAAATGGCTCATGGAGCTGACCATAGCCTTAGCCTGATTCAAGATTTTAAAAAGGTCAGAACAGGAATCGAAACAATAAAATGTCTAATATCCAGCACTGATATTATCTAGTAGCTAACTGCTTTTATCAATCTTATATTAAAAAATCAGAATTTCTGAATTTCAAAGTTGACAGTCTATTTTATGTACCATTAAAAAACAATTAACGCCCAATTTTTTAAATTACTTTGAAACAAAGAATGGTCACTTTGATAAGAAATAAAATATAAAGAAAAATAATATAGGTGAGATTATTTAAACAGCTGAAAATGAAAAATAATAAATAAATGGGCAGTAATGAGTTAAGGTAAAAAAAGGCAAGTAGGGGCAGCTGCAAAGGGAGTGAAACAAAAAAATAATTTTTAAAAAATTATTTTTTGATAAACAGTAAATAATATTTTTAAATAAGTAAACAAACATGTTTGATAAGATTTTTGAGGTTTTAATAGATCAAACTTAAAAAATCGAATAGAAGTCATGGACCACAGTATACATATATTCTTAAATCGACAAAATATATATTCTTAAATACTCAATATACAAAATTTTAATTAAATTCTTTTATCAATATTTACTACATATAAAGCCTTCCCGCGATGGTATTAGTGAGAATGTCGTTTATTTTTGAATAGGGAGAAAATACTCTCTAAAAAATTATTCTGAAGAAGGGCTATATTACGTTTGGATCAAAACTGATCCAGCCTGTTGAAGACGGTACACACCGATGTACCGCCGAGATTTTTAATAAATAAATATGTAAATGAGAATGATTTTTTAGCAATTTATCGAAAAAATTTTTTAATCAAGCAAATTTTTTTATAAATAATCTTAAATTATTTTTCACACTATTTTGAGTATATTAACTCTTTAAATTATTTAAAAATAATTTTTTTCAATAAGGTTATAATGCAGTAAATTTCCTTAGAAGATTTCTTTAATTAATTTTACTGATTTTAGGGACCTATCTAGTCGGAGAAAACTCTCTAATGTAGAGATCTTTCTAGAAGGACCTCTCTATAATATCTAGATACACCACAGTTAAAGTTAAATCCCTTAAGATTTGATCAATCACTCAATAGGAGAGCTCTCTAAGCGACGTCCTCCATTTAAGAAATACCTCATTATAAGGTACAATTTTTAACGCCAAATGATATCTTATAATGAGGCCCGAATGGATTTAGAAGGATAACCTTCAATAAACTAACAAGCCTTCACATTTTTGTTATAAGAGAACGCCCACCACTGCCCATAGAGCCTACGTCCACAAACAATCATAGTTAATGCCCTTAGCTCTAGTATCACTCTATTTTTATCTTAACTAACACTTGTAGGCATGCCCCATCGTTCTTTTAACATTTTTTGCCCGGCTAAATGGCCTAGCCCCTATACCCTCATTCACGGACTTTGAGGCGCTGGCAAGTCGCAATTCTCGAGATGGGCAGCTGTGCTGGTCATGAGTGGAAATAAGCAAAAAACGAGAGATAAAAGAAAAAAAAGAAGAAAAAAACTAAAAAAATGGAATGTCATGGCAATATTTTTTAACGTTTTTTCGACCCTAGAGAGGTGAAAATGAACCAAAAAAAACTTTTAGACTTTATGAGTACAAAGGAGGAATAAATTTTGTGTTTAAATTTTCGATATTAGAATCGAGAAAGAGAAAGGCTTTTGAATAAAGTGGATAAAGAGAATAGAGAAAGCTGACCAAGATCAAAAATTTTCGAAATTCTGGACTCAAGATCAAGACAGGGAAACCCCAAAGAAAAGCTTATGTCAAGACCATGAGATATTGGCATCTAAAAGATACTTGATTGGTGTTATACCGCTTAGTTAGTGACATAAACAGGATAATAAAGCTATAGAATCATCCGAATATGTATATTCTCAAGACTCCCATATATTAATCAGTCCCTAAAGGAAGATCCAAAGAAAGGCTCATGTCAAGACTATAAGACATTTCCGTCTCTATGATACTTGATTGGTGTTTATATCGCTTAGTTGGTGTCATAGACCGCCGACTTCAGCTATAGAACTATCCGAATATATTCCCAAAACTACCTAATATTAATCGTTCCCTAAAGGAAGGGCTAGAACTGATTCAACTGAAAATTAATTAATCTCCTATGTTTTGATCTTTTAATTCAATGACTCATAATAAATTAAAAACGATTCACCCCTAAATTTGATAAAAAGCCCCCAATTTAGCAGCAATGTGCGGACAAATAATGAATGTGTGAAGCCAATGAAGAGGGCGATTTAATGGCGATTTTTAGGGTCGAGTTTTATTTCCGAAAATGGAAGGGGAGGTGTGGAGGGGAGTAGGGGGTGTTGGATGACAGTTTTTAGAGAAAAAAAACTCTCCCATCCCCCAAAAACATTTTTCGTTTAAACTGTCCTATATGGCCAGCCGGACGTTTTTTTTTGTGTTTAGATGACTGGCCAGAGCATTCCCTTCCCATTCTCCTCCATTTTTTTGCATTCCCGTGTGTGCGTGGACGTGTATTAAAAAAGTAGAGGGAATGGTCGTTGAGATGGTCGCCATCGAGCCAATTCCCCCCTAAAAGCCAAATATGGGCAATGGAACGAGAGAGGAGCTAGAGAGAGATAAAAATTGGCAATGGAGGAAATTGAAAATGTGAAGCGAAAAAAGGAAGAAAAAAATGAAAAAAAAGAAGAAAAATAAAAAAAGGCCAGTCGCACAACCGCCGGCCAGAGTCCAAAGCAACCGGACACTGACAAACAAGAAAAAGCTTTTTTTTCAACGTCGGGACAGCTAGAGGCTTTTTTGACTGGCAATAAGAGAAAATAAGGAAGAAAGAGAGAATTTTTTTATTCTCGAGGAAAGGCCAAATTGAGGTATTTGAAAAGGAGAAAGGAGAGAGGGAGAGATTAAATTTAGTAGAGGAAAAAAATAATTAATTAAAGAAATTTAGAAATTTTTTAAAATTTATAATTATTTTTTAATTAATTAATTAACCAGATGAACATAAATGTGACGTGACTTTATTTTGAGTAGAGACTTCCAGGGTGTTATGTAATGACCAGTGCTAGACGGCACTCCGAGGCTCTCGTCCTGCTTCTCCCATTGCTTTAGAATTTTTGGATTATTGAATCAATCCCGTGCACAGGTAAATGTAGGTCCAATTTCTGACTTTTGATTTCTGTCATTTACCCTTCTGATTTCTGATAGATCCGATTTTCGGCACCTCCCTCATTTCCCCTTATCCCATGGTAATTAGATCCAGTAAAATTTTTATATATTAATCCCAGATACCATAAAGATTTTTTTTAAATCGAGACAAGCTTAAATGCTTACCTAAATAAATTACTTAAAGAAAAATAATAATAAAAAATATTTAGAAAGGAATGCGCAGGAAATGGCATTTGTAGTTGCGTATAATATGTATTAATAGCAACTATAATAAATAAAAATAAAAAATATTTTAAGGGAGCAATGTACACTTAGAGGCTACTTAAAAGATGAAAGTATGTAAATAAAAATATTTGAAAAATAAATAATAAAATGCTAAATAATTATAAGATCAGGACCAAGATTTTATCATATAATAAGGTTTCAATAGGGATCTTAGGAATAGAATAACTTCTAAGCTCCCTTAATAAAATAGCTAAAGCTTAGGGTGGTATCTTAATTGAATCGTATATTATAAAGACTTAACTATAGCTTATAATGATATGTCTCTTAAATAGAGGTTATGACTTAGGAGGCACCTCTATCGAGTGGTTAACCGAATTTTAAAGAATTACTTAAATTTAGGTAAGTTAATAAAGGGTGTACATTAAAGAGAGGTCTCTCCGATTAGCTAGGTTTCTATGGCTAAAGAGGTCTTTTCAAAAAGATAAACCTCTAAAACAAGAAAGGTCTTTCTGAAGTCCAAATAAAAAAGTATCTCCGGCTAAAGAGGTCTCTCCGACTAACAAGGTCTCTCAGACTAAATAGGCATCTAAAAATCAGTAAAAATAATCAAAACAAAATAAAAATATTTTTAATAACAAAATTAGGCCATAAAAACAAAAAAAAATAAAAATTTAGGGCTAGAGCAGATTATAAACGGAAGGCATTAAAAATGATTTATGACGGAATATTTTAAATTTTATGAACATTATCAGTCAGTCGTTGCAACGTGGGATTTGTGTGAGGGTTATATTGCGCTAGAACTTGATTTTGTAGAAAAATAAAAAATAATCTCTATTGCAACAAAAAACAAAAACAAACAAAAATATTGTCCAAAAGCAATGAAAAAAAATTTTTTTTTGAAAAATAAGGAAAAATATTGGGGGAAAACTGGAATTTTTTTTTAAAATGAAGATAAAAACAATTTTAATGCCTCATAAATTTTAATGGCAAAATTATTTAAAAATTTTTTATCATAAAAAGTTAATCAGTTAGGTAGTTTTTATATTTGTATCAGCATTATTCAAGAAATTTTGTTCCGGAAAATGTTCTCGAAGAAGGACCTGAGAGTAATTTAAAGCAATATCCGGGCAAATATATCAAAAAGAATCGCGCGATCGTCCGACTAAAAAACATGGTCGCCGCGGAATAAAGCGCTCGAAAGCCCACCGTATTTGGATCAACTAACATTAGAGAAATGGACGAAAGTGAATCCGACATATCATCTGCTGCTAATTTTTTCTGATCCGGATATCCGAAAATGTCTACCTAGATCCGAGTAGTAACAAAAGTACAGTTTAACTAAAACAAAACAGAACACTGACTGGGCTTGCATAATAAACTAGGTTTAGTCCCCTTTTTTCCTTGCAAGAGTGAAATAATTAAAAAATAAAAAAAAATATTTTTATTTACTTAGTTGGCTAAAGAACAGCTTCCGCGCCTTGTGGTACTAGCTTTTAATTGCCTTTTGGAAAAGTAAAAAGAATTTTTCCTTTGAATGTCCCTTTGTGGGATGGCAAAATTAAACGAATTTATGCCGAGACAGGAATTGAAGATACGGTCAAGATTCAAGAGCGATATCTTAAGAAATCTAGATTCTCGATGCTCTAGCTTTTTGAAAGAAATAATGCCCCTGTCCTGACACCGGGACCAGATCTTTGAAATTCGAAACCCGGTCAATGTTTCCAACCGAAGTCTTCCGCGCCTAGCGGTACTAGCTCTCTCAATTGCTTCTGATTAAAGTAATTGTTGAAACTCTGATCCGAGATCTTAACATAATTTTTTTCCCTAAACTGGAAACTATTTAAACAATATTGACGTCCTCATAAGCCCTCCTTAATTTTTAACGAAAGAATAACCAACTAATTAGCTAATTAGCTCCTCTTTTAAATCTAATAGGACTTCTGCTTCTCAATAAAATCCATCAAGCTGAAGTAAAATTAAAAGGCGTGCAATATCCCCCTGTTAAAGTTTAATATTTCTTCTCTATTATTATACAATTATTTTTCTTTTTTTTAAATTTTTTTTCTTCTTAAATGTCCATTCAACCTACCCTCTAGGCCATAACATTTTTTCCTTTCCGCCTACACATTGCCCTTCCAACATTTTTATATACTATTGGCCAGCGTTTTCTGCCCTAATGAGCTGTTCCAAAAATAGATTCGAGATATTTCTTTTCTCTTTTTTAAAAAGTCTTTCTCGTTTCCAAACAAATGAATGGACACTGCCTCTTACTTTTGTTTAGCAGTGCGCCAAAAAAGTTTTAACGTAAAACAATTCAAACTTGGCCTATAATGGGCTTAAATTAGAGAAGGAGATAAGAGAATTAAATGAATGTTCTCTATAAGACTAAGTAATGAAGTTTGTAAAAATCTAAGTTTGTAAGACAAGTGTGTAAGAAAAAAGTTTGTGAAGACATGTTAGTAAAAACATGTTGTAAAACAAGTATAGATGAAAATGTTTGTGAAGAAATGTTTGTTTGTTTGTTAATAATGTTTGTAAACTTTTAATAAGATTGCAAAACAAGTTTTCAAGTTTGCGAGGAAACATGTTTTTAAGAATTATAAAGTTTGTAAAAAAGTTTGTAAGGAACAAGTTTGTAAAAACATGTTAGTAAAACGAGTAGTTGAAAATTTTGTGAAAACATGTTTGTGAAGAAAGTTTGTGAAAATGGATGTTTGTGAAAGAATGTTTGTGAAAAAAAGTTTGTAAACTTATAAGTTTGAAAAAAAAGTTTTCAATAAAACATGTTTTTAAGAATTATAAAATTTGTAAAAATGTTTGTAAAAGGTTGGTTTTTATTTTTTCTTTATAAAAAGGTTTGCTAAGCTTTTCAAGTTTGTGAAAAAGTTTTTAGAAAAAGTTTTCAAGTTTTCCAACTTTTAAGAACGCAAAAACTTGGCGCACACCTAAATTTAAGTTAAAGCGGTCAGAAGCTATATAATGTAAGTTTTTTTAGAAAAAAGCTGAAAATAACAGAAAAATGAGAAGGAAAAAAAACAAGAAAATGCCAATGGTTATTTGCTCTTTCCATTAGAAATGGAAAAGGTAAAGGGAGAGATGATATTGCAAAAAATAAGCGGTCGGGAATTATTGACAGCCGCCTAGTTGGAATGGCTATCTTTAAGTCAGGTGACCAATTTGAGGGGAAAATAATGGAATAAAAATAAAGGAAGGAAAAAAATGAGGTTAGTAAAGGATGTTTTTTAAACTGAGGTTCGACATTAGGAAATAAATTATTAGTCAAAGGAAGGGACATAGGAGGGAAGCAGTCGCTTTTTAGGGATAAAGCATGGACAATGATAGAAAATAGGTAAAGTTGTATGTAAGGTTCCTATGAATGATTGTGGAAGATTACCAGATTCCTGGAAGCTTCTGGAAGATCACCAGAGATTCAGAAACGTTATCCTTCCAAACAAAAAATTTGGAGTATTTAGAGTGGAGCTGGATATGTTAATAAAGATAGTAACTCGGAACTAGAGATCGAGATTTTTGAAAAGCCTGGGCCTGTTCCTGGGTTCCGGGTTTGATTTATTGACCTGGGCCGGATCCTGGGCCTTTAGTCCAGGAAAAACCCAAGAAGGTTAAAAAATGCCTGGGCCTGACTCTGGGTACATGAAAAACCCAGGCCTTGGTCCAGGCCCAGCTATCCAGCTTATCTCTACTCGGGACCGGGGGAATAGAAAATAAAATTTAAATTAATAATTTAGACTGCCCCATCAGCTAATCTTTTCCTAAGAGAAAGTAAAGGGTTGAAAAATGACAGAAGATTGAGAATAAAAATTAAAATATAAAAAAATATTTTTAAAAAATAAAAACCCATCCCCATATTTTTGTCCAGTTTCACTATTATTTTCATTTATTTTGCTCTAATTTGACCTAAACGGAAACGTGAATGGAACGCTTAATAAAGAGAGCAAAATTACAAAAACGCGCAAAATTGGGACGATTATTTTGCAATGTTGTGAGTGTATGGAGTGAAGGGAACGTTAAAAGTAGAGTGAAGGGAACCCTTACGGCAAATTCAAAAAAAAATATTTTTTTAAACTTTTTGACGTTTATTTTTATTTCTAAAAATTAAAAAAAAATTCTAAATTAAAGAAAAATAATGAGGAGAGGAAATTAATAGGGAGAGAGCTGTTTTGCTCAATTTAGGAAAATTAAGAGGGGAAAATAAATAAAAATAATAATTAAATTAGCAATTGAATTAAATTAAAAATAATTTTTTAATTGATTCTGATAGGTCTGAAAATTAGTTTTAGACGAGATTTCTTAATTTATTAATTTTCAGAAAATTTTTCAGAACCCAGAATTTATTTAAAGAGAATTAAGGGACCTAATCACTATTGGTCATTGCATGAGGATCAAGCATAGCGCCCATTTAAATATTAATGCATAACTTGTAAGAATATTCTCAGAATCTTCTACAAATATTCCTAATAGTCTTAAGTACCTTCTCTATAAATTTCAGAATTTCTTGTTTATTATTTCACAAGTTATTGTCAATTAAACACAGGAAATGGCGATTTTTTATGATTTTTCAGCAAAAACAAGACATTTTTACCTATAACTTTAAAATCGGCGACCTAAAATTCTGAAATTTTTAGAGATTGTAGATAGCCTTATCTGGACTATTTGAGCAAATTTTTATAAAATTTGAAGGATTTTTGACAATTTTAGGCAATTTATGGTAGTCCATGTCTTTGTTATAAATGCCCTATTAAAAATAATTTAAATTTCAATCAGAATAATTAATCAGAAAATTCTGAAAATTTCTGAAAAATTCCAAAACTGACAGAAAAATGCCCAAAAATTCAAAAAAAGTTTTCGGCAAGTTTCCGTCCTAATTTAACCATTCCCAGACAATTTACTATTTATTTTTGATCGTTTAAAAAGTGTACAATCAAAAACACACTCTTTATTTGCCTCCATTTTTAAATTCCTCTTTTCATTTTTGCTGTAAATCAAGCTGAAAAGTAGTAGTTAAATGGTCCGTTATAATCGGCCCATAGTTTGGGCGGCAAATAAAAAAGGGAAGAAGAACGAACGTTTTTATTTTTAAGCATGCGGGAGATTAATCAGAAAAAAGGGAGAAAATGAGAGGGAGAAGAATGAGAATTTTTGAAGAACTGTTGGAATAGAAGAGATAATCCTTTATTCTTATCTTATCATAATCTTCGGGAATATATAAAACGAAGGAATAAGAAAGAGAGTAGCAAATCTCAAAAGTAGGATAGGATGGAGGTGTGGAAACATGTGACATCATGGGATAGGGGGGAGAGGGAGGATGTAGCATAAGAAATGGGCAAGATACTGAGATGATGGGATAAGTGGGTGATAATAATGGGTAAGTTGGAGAGGTGTAATAAGATAAAGAAAGAGTTAGAAAGAGTTTAGCCACCGCGCAGGATTCGAACCTGCGACCTACTCGTAGTTAACAATCCTCTTAGATCGTTTAACCCCCGCCCAACGTTTTAAATGCTGCTAGGTGAATCATCCTTACAATAATGGTATAAGATGATAGTGACAAAAGGTGTGATAAGTCTAATGGTTAAAGATAATATTTGATAAGAAAGAGAGGATTTGATAAAATAGGAAGGCTGATGACAAGCTGAAATAACTGAGAGCTTAGAGAATATTATATCTAATATGGATAACCAGTCAGAAAAACTGCTCAATAAAATATTTCCTTATGGAAGGTCAATAAAATATTTTTTTAATAAATGCCCAAAATATTAAACTTTTATTCATTGAACTAACTCGCGCACCCAGCAGATTTTTGCTACTTCCATCAAAAGATGGTTATCTAGGCCATTAGGTGCCCTTCCCAACTTTTAATTACCGCAATTCCTTTGGCGGTTATTTCTATATTTAATGATTATTTATGATATAATATGAAAAATGTGAAAGGTCAAGTTATTAATGAGAGTATATTGAGGGAGAATATAAGCCAAATTATAACAAAAATAAATCCAGGCTTGAGCAATAGGGTGATAAAATACAGATATAAAGTAATGAGATGGCGAAATAGAGCTGTTAACTAATGCGGACATCCGAGCTGCAACGCAGATCTGAGTAGCAAAATCTTGCGTAGCAAAACGTGAGATTGTTGATCTATCACTAAAATCCGTTCATATAATCAGAGGATAGTGACAATCTTTGGGTACTTATTTAATTTTTTGGTTCATTTCCTCAGTACTGTATCAATCTTAGGTAGGGTTGTCGGTTTCAAACCGAAAAGAACCGAACCGAACCCAATTACCGAAGAGTTTTCGGTTCGGTTTGTCAGTTTGGTTTCGGCTAACCAAAACATACCGTGAAATCGAGAACCCTAATCTAAGGTATTGCTTTTATTTTTTTGGATCATTCCCAAAATAACTTGTAAACTCATGCAGACACCAGTTAAGCTTAATTTCCATTTAGCTTGCAAAAATGTTTCAAAATTTTTATTTTTTTCGGAAATTAAATTTTCTGATCAATCAGTTTCTTATATTTTAAAAATAAAAAGCAAAAACCGTGACAATTAAGAAGCAGTTATCGCTTCGCGCAAGCGTTTCTTAGTGTATTTGAGGCAAACAAACAATCCAATAAAGTAAAATTTTGAGAGGGAGAAAGTGAAAGAATGAGAGAAATTAAATAAAAAAAATATTTTTAAATTTCTAATGGGTCATTTAACGCTTTGAACAAGTTTAAGCATTTCCTGTGGAAGTCACTTCCAGTCGAAGCAAAAGATGTTCGGAACTGCAAGAAGAGTGGATGTGGGTATTAGAGATCGAGATTTTTGAAAAGCCTGGACATGTTCCTGGACTCTGGGTAGATTTATTGACCTGGACTGGATCCTGGGCTTGTAGTCCAGAAAACCCCAGGCCCAGGAAAAACAGAGAAAGGTCATAAAATGCCTGGACCTGGACTCTGGGTACAGGAAAAATCCAGGCCTTGTGTGTGTGTCTGTCTCTAGTGTGTGTCTCTAGTGTGTATGTCTGGTTCAGAGTTAACGGATTCTAGGAAATTTCCGGATTTGATATCCAATCCGAAAATTTCTGATCCGGATATCCGTATCCGATCCGAAGTTTTGAGATATCCGATTATTCTCTGATCCGGATATCTCTATCCGCCCACCTTAGTCTGGGAAGGAGGTTTCCTATTAGTTTCGGGTCAGAGTTAGGCCTAAAATGATTTTTGTTTATTATCAATAAAATAAATAAAAATGTTTAGCAAACCCATGAATTGAGTAAATTCAGCCTAAAAGCAAATAGAGGACGATTTAAGTAGATAATAATGCGTAGAATGAGAAAAATGTTGGGGAAACAACAGGAAAGTACATAAATTGAGAGAATTAAATTGGGAAAATATTAAATACTGGAAGTGAAGGCATTGAAAAATTTTTTGAAAATTTTCAGGCCAGGTCTTCTCATTCAATTTTTTAAGATTTTATGACTATCTAGCCAACGATTAAAGATAAGGTAGGAACAAGAATATGGGCAACCGCATAAAATAGTTATCTATTAAAGATGGATTTATAGAATTGTTTTCGGACCCTTAAGACATAATATGGAGCTTCATTGAACTCATGAACTAGACCAAATCTCCTAAATTACTACCAGCCAATCGTGTGGTGTCTTAAGAGTTAAGGCAGAACTTTATAAAAATTAAAAGAACCCCAGGCCTTGTTAAAATTATCAATCCAACTTCGACCTTAACGAAAGACCTTTTATTATCAGAAACAAATAAAAAAATTTTATTTTCAACAATAACACATTAAAAAATTTTAATTATTAAAAACAAATTAAAATTAAAACAAGGCTTTTAAACTACTTCAAAATATAAAATTGAAAAAAGGTTAAAAAGTGAGTCTGAACGGTGGAATGCGAGAAATGGCCGAGGGTGGTGGAAGGCGCGGCAAGGAAGGGGCAGTAGCTTGAGTTATTATTGTGTGCCAGCAGGTACGAGGAAAGGAAAAAAACTTTTAAAAAATATTTTAAATGATTTTTGAGCTTTTTTGAGGATTAAAATTAAATTAATGGACAAGGATGAGGAAGGAAAATATTTTTAAAATTAAAAAATGGAAAAATTGGAAAAATGAAAGAGGAAGAGATTGAGGGATAAAGAGGAAATAAGACGAAGATTAAAATTTTTTGACAAGAGAAACGGGAGCGGAAAATTATTTTTGGGCCATTCGTTGGCTACGATCACTGACATCGCTGTTCCCGAAAAGATTCTTCCTAACGTTCGGGAACCAAGACTAGTTGTTACCATCATTTCAATAAATACGTCTTATCTCCCCTTATTTTCTATATCATTTCCGAAATGAGGATAAGGAAGGGACAATTAATTCTTCCTGCTATTAATAACCCTGATTGAAGAAAAGAAATAAAAGAAGATATGGAAATGGTTAGAAAAGCTGTTCCCCATCCCTTTCTGAAGTTCGAAAATTTGAGGCTTTGATAACCTAAAGGTTTGCGAGGAGGGATAAAGCGAGAGAAGTGATAAATCTTATCCTTGCGAGGAGGATAAGCTTTGCGAGGATGGATAGAGAGGAAGGGTAAAGGAAGGATAAAGGAGGAGTGATATAGAGGAAGAATAAAAGATGGATTAAGCGAGAGGAGGGATAGAGAGAGGAAGAATAAAAAAGGAAGAATGATGAAGGAAGGAATAAGGGCAGAATTAATTTTGATATTAAATCGGAAGAGGAAAAAGTCAAGAATGGGCATGGACGAGAAAAAGTGTTGACGAGAAAAATATTTTTATTTTCTGACCAAAAAGCAAGGAAAAAGACGCACCTTTGTAAATAAATATTTAAAAAAATTTTTTAAATGGACAGCCGAATGCTTATTTAAGAGGCTGGCGAGAGTTTTGGGGATAAACGGAGAATTTAAAGGGGGAAAATAAAAATGAAGGGAGGAAGAGACAGTTATAGGACTTTAAAAATAGAGAAAAGCAATCAAAAAGCCGCTTGCTGACCGTTGATTATTATTTAAATATTTGTGCATTTTTAAGAGGGAAAAGCACTTTTATTTTATTTTTATTAGAAAATTTAAAAAGTTTTTTCCCGATTTGGACGGAGAAAAGAATTTAAATAAATAAATAAATATTTTTACTTTTGTGGACAGACGAAGCTTTATAAAATAATTTTTGGGCATTTTTGGGTTTAAAATTATTATTTAGTTATTTTAAAAATAAATATTAAGGCAGAAGATATGTATTGTGGGATAATTACTTAATTTTAATTGATAAATAATAAAGGAAAAATTCTGGTAATAAATTTATTATCTAATATTTCCGGAAACATTTAATTATGATTTCCGGAAGCATATATATTTCACCAGAAATATAAATTATATTTTAAAAATTTTCCGGAAAATATACATAATATACAGCAGGGGTGTGCGAGTTTCGCGTTTCGCGTTTCGCCTTTCGCGGATTTTCGCGTTTTTTGGACTTTCGCGTTTCGCGTGTCGCTTTTTTAAATTTACTTTCGCGTTTCGCATTTCGCGTTTCACTTTTTAAATTTACTTTCGCGTTTCGCGTTTCGCGTTTCACTTTTTAAAATCCGTTTCGGCACACCCCTGATATACAGTGTGTCCAGAAATTATACATATGAAAATATTTTCCGGAAATATCTTATGGTTTTCGGAAAAGCGTATTATTTTCCGCAAAAGAATAAATATTTTCAGAAAAATTATCATAACAGCTCTATAGTGTTTCTAACATTTCCGATGCAGATACAAACTAGAAAAACTAACAGATAATTTGCTACAAGTTTATATTAAAATTAGGGTTGGCCTAAAAATTAGGGCTGGGCCTAATTTTTATCGGACCAGGTTCTTTTTCGGGTCAAATCGATGCCTGATTCAATCTAACGGACCGGACATGGCCTCAACCCTAATAAAAATATAACTTTAAAAATACAAGAATAAATTAGTAAAAATCTGTTTAGTTTTGTTTTGCTTTATTTTATCAACTCAAGATTTTTGGTTTCCTCATTTTCCTTTTGTTTTTAAGGGCGATTGTTCTTTTCACGCATTTCTTTTTTGTTTTTACCTTCTTTCCGTTCCATCTCACGTTTCTTTTTTTCTAGTCAAAATATTTATCCTCGACACATTCACGTTAGTCCACAATTCCTTCCTTCAAAAGTGGCTAACTGAACAATGGAAAAAATAAAAATATATAAATCCCAGAATATTTACTCACCATTTTATCCTATATTGTATTACAAGAAAAATATAATAAAATAAAAATAAAGTTAGCTCTCTATTTTATATAAACCTTGGAGATTAACATACATATGCATACATAGTAGTGATGTTCTGGAGTTAAAGAAAGCCGAGAGTCGAGAGACCGAGACCGCGAGCTTAAAAACCAAAGAAATTTCCTGATTCGAGAACCGAGACCGAGAGTCTCGAACATCAAAACCATAGCATACTACAAGATTAATTTAAAGGTGTGGATATTTTGGCCCCAAAAGGAACATAGGTAGTTCAGGAAAATTTTATTTAATAAGGGTATAATCAAGAGTTTTTACTTTCACTTAAATCTTGGATGAAGAAGATTAAGGAGATAAAGTGAAATGTCTGTATCTGATTATCTAAAGAAATTTTATCTTCAATAACACGAGATTTTCGTTCCGAGATCACGTTTTGCTTCGATCTATAGTGTCTGAACTCAGCCACGTTAAGAGATAAGTATAAGCTTATATTTATTAACTAAAGGTTGGATTTACTTATAATTTTGTAATTTATTATAATTCGGGTAATTTATTATTCTAATAGATTGTATTAATTATTATCACCCTCATTAATATTTTTTAACATTAAAATTTTTTAATTTTCAATTTTTTAAGAATTAATAACTAAAAATATTTTCCAACATCCCATAAATGTTACAAAAAATATTAATATTTTTTCCCATCGATCAGATTTACTGATAACATATTATTAAGTAGTTACTATGGAAATATATTTATTTACTATTTTGCATTTTATTTAAAAATAATTTTATTTTGTTGTAATTTCAGAGGCATAATAATATTTTAAAAATAAATTGTTGAAAATTTTATTTTTGATTTTAAATTATTTTTTAATTTTTTATTTGAATTTATTTTATTATTTGAATCATTTTTATTTTTTATTAATTAAATGGAGGACAATGATCATAAGAATAAAATTGTAAATGAAATTAATAATGAAATTAAAAATGAAAGAAAAAATAAAAAATGCAGGGTAAATTATTTAAAAATTTTTGGAAAATTTTTTTCTTGAAAATTTTTTTAATGCTAAATAAATACCTATTACTATTTTTTGAAAATTTTTTAAAAATAATTTTATAAATTTTCCTGGAAAAAAATTTATTTGCAAAAAATAATTATTCCTGAAAACTTATACTTATACTTATTTTAATCTTCCGGAAATAATTTTTTTATAAAAAATTTTTAGAAAAATTTTTTTTTAATTTTCCGGAAAACAAAAATATATTTTTCTTAAAAATTTTCTAGAAAAAAATTTTTTTATTCGAGATTTAAAAAAAAAAATTTTTTTAAAGATATTTTGGACAATAATCACGATACTGTCTGTAGCGATCTCTACCGGATACGGCTCACAAGTTAAATACTCCCTTCTAAATGATGATCCAACTCACTTTTTTCCTCCATATACTATGATGTGGTTTAATAATTGTTGCTTGGTTTGTAAAATAATTTAATTAAATATTTGTGTTTTCCGGAAAATTTAAAAAATCATATATTTAATTAAATATATTTTTACGGAAACATCTTATATTTGTTCCGGAAACATCTAATTGATTATAAATGTTTGCCGAAAAATAATTCCGGAAATATTATATGTTAATAACTTTAGGGATTATATTTTCCGGAACAATACACTAGTATGTATAACTTGGGGTGTTTTCCGGAAAATACATAGTTATTTCAGAAAACTTTTATACATAATTTAACCTTCCGGAAAATAATTCCGGAAATATTTAATGTTAATAACTTTAGGGATTATATTTTCCGGAATAGTACATTAATATGTATAATGTTTTCCGGTAATGTTTTCCGGAAAATACATACATAATGTTTTCCGGAAAATACATAGTTATTTCAGAAAACTTTTATACATAATTTAACCTTCCGGAAAATAATTCCGGAAATGTGTTAATAAATTCAGGGACTATATTTTCCGGAATAATACACTAGTATGTATAACTTCCGGAAAAAGTTAGTTATTAAAAAGTGTTTTCCGGAAAATACATATTCCTGAAAATATTTATACTTACATTAACCTTCCGGAAATAATTTTTAAATGGGGTAATCTGTTTTTGGAAATATCAATTAAATTGTGTTTTCACAGCCTAAACCGGAAACAAACCGGAAACACTATTTATTTTCAATAAATTATTCAAAACAATTTTAAAGTATAATTTTTCCGAAAAATTTGTAATTTAATTAATTACTTCAGTAAAATAATAAAATTACTAAATGTTATATTTTCCGTAAACTAACATGTATTTTTGTATTTACTTTTAAAAAATATTTTATTATTTTTAAAGATTATATGTTATCCTCTCTTCCTATTTTATGAAAAATGTATAAAGAAAAATCAAATGTCCTTGAAAGAAATTACTAGCAAATCCTCTCGAATTTTTTCTGATGATGGATTTCGATTTGGGTTTTTTATTTTTAAAGAAAATTAAATTTAAAAAATTTTTTCAGTCCATTTTTCATAAAAGAATTTTTCTTTTTATGTCTCTATACCTTTGGCAATTATTCCTATGCCTTATCCCTAGGCAAAATCTCATCATCCGCAGCTTTAACAATTAGAAGTTTTGAAGTTTCTATTGTTTATATTTTTGGGAGAATTGTATTGAAAGATAAATTTAATATTTTTAAGGTAGCTTAGTTATGCTTAAGTTAGTCAAGAATTAGTAAATATTGCCATGATATTAGTCCAATGGTAACTCTTCACTATTATTTAACTAGACCACCAGGGATTATTTTTTATCTGAGGATACAGTGATAAAACTAGGGTTGGACCCCGAACGCTTGGGGGCGGGTGTGTAGGGGTACGGGATTTTCGAATTGTTTCGTGGCGGGGTGCGGAGTCGGGGAGGGTCAGGGTACGAAGAACGGGGTCGGAATGCAACATTAGATAAATCTGCCACCTCTTTGTAATTTGGAATGTCATAAGTTCCTAATAGTAGGTAATGCATTGCTATGAATCAGTCTCTTACACAACTCATTTCAGCCCCATTAATTTGAAACATTTAAGGGATAATAGTGGAAATAGAATCAAAAGTTAGAACCAAAAACGGTCATCCAAAGCTACTCTATTACAATAATTGATGCTTATTCCAATATAAACAATTATTTTTTAGACTATAGCTGTATTTCTGGCAATGATAGGAGTTGTATCAATTGCTCTAGATAAGGAATTTGCAGCTAATATCATCGGATTTTTGTTAGTTTTGCTGTCATGTCTTTCTGATTCGACTTACAAGGCAACTTAAAATTCAAAAAAAAATTTTGAAAATTTTATAGGTCACCTTCAAATTAATTTCGGGAGAACAAGCTTCTTTAGGTGAGGGTATGCTTTTCCTATCAGGCATGGCAATAGTCAACCTTCCTCTAAATTTAATTCCAACTTCAATTTTGGTGTATTTTGGCTATGATATTTGGCAATGGGACAGTGTTCCTTGGGGAAATTTTTTGAATTTTGTGTTTTTGACTTTTGGTAAATTTTGAAAAAAATTTTCAAAAATTATTTTGAAAATTTGAAAATTTTTAAAAAAATTTACTGAAATTAAAAAAAAATTTTCTGGAATTAAAAAAATTTTTTCTTTGTGTTTTTTCAAAGTTTTCAACATTGCAACAATTTTTGGCGTGGCAGCTCTCGGCCCCTTATCAATTGTAATTGGCGTTCTCTGCGGCATTCCGATAAGCATATGTTTGGATAATTAAATTTTAAATTAATTATGAAATAAATTTAGTTATTGACGTGATTTTACGCGGTAGGCATTTAACCGCAACTTTTGTAATTGGAGCGGTCTCGTTGATAACATCAGCAATATTAGCTAACTTTCACCAACAATTAGGCTATTTATTTAGAGGAGATAACACGGAAAATAAGGGGAATGAGCAAAATATTTAATTAAAAATTTATAATTTCTATTCATAAAATTTTTTTTTAAGTTCAAAAAAATTTTTCTTTAAATTTCAAAAATTTTTTTAAATTTTTTCTGAATTTTTTAATTTAAAAAATTTTTTTATTAAAATCCTTATATAGAAATAATTCCAAAATATTACAAAAATAGACTTGAAAATAAATTTTTTAATAGACATGCTTTTAAGAATACAAACTTAAATTTTTCTATTTAAAGAAAAATTTCTAATCCTTTAAAATATCATGCAAAAACTTCTGGAAAAACGTTTTCTTTACAATTTTACTTAATGATGTATTTTCCGGAAAATATAAAAATTATTTTACAAATGTTTCCGGAAAATATCCCAAAACACAAATATTAACCACTTTCCGGAAAACAATTTATATTTCCGGAAGTTATATAACTATGAAAATTAATATATTTCCGGAAAATACAGTTACTATACTTTCCGGAATGTTTTGTGAAACACATCATTATTTTCTTAAACATGTTTCGGAAACAATGTATTTCTTTCCGGAATTTCCGGATTTCCGGAATTTCCGGAAGTTATATATAACTATGAAAATTAATATATTTCCGGAAAATATAAAATTCTTTTAAATATTTGTATGTTTCCGGGAAATATTATATTACACAAATATTCAATTGTATTCCGGAAAAATCATTTATTAATTTATGAAATTTTAATATATTTACGGAAAATATAATTAGTTTCCGGGAATTTTAACGAAACACAAATAATATAAAATGTGTTTTCCTCTATTCTTATTGTGTTTATTTTTTTCTTTCCTTGTATTTTTACACAAATTTATTATTTTATCATTATTTTCTTAAGGAATTTTAATTAATTTTTATTCACGTGATAAACATATTTTTTAATGAAAATTGAGGGAATCCCCAGCTATAATCTTTATTTATTTTTTTCTGGATTAATTTAAATAAATTAATTAATAATTTTATTGTTTTGGCTATAACTTATGTATTTATTACTGTAATTTTTTAAATAAATTTATTTATTTATGCATTACATCTAAAAGCTTTTTAGGATTAATTTGAGAAAGAAAAATATGCAAAATAAATATGTTTGTAAATAAAAATATTAAAAAACATAAATAAGGTAGACGACTAAAACACATAGATTAATATTTACTGTATTTAGTGAATCAACAGAGATCTGCAAAAATTTGATTTTTAAATTAGGATTGTTCACGCTCGGTTGCTCGAAACCTAGAGCTAACTGGTCTTTTTGGCCAATTAACTGAAACAGAAAGCAGGGTGTCCGGTTAATAGCCAGTAGAGAACAATCCTAATTTAAACAATAACAAAGTAACTTTATCCGTATTTTCCGGAAAATTTAATTAATTAAAAGAATTTCCGGAAAATTTTATAACACAAATTACACCCAACAATACAAAATACAAAACTTTCCGGAAATTATATAATTCATTTCCGGAAGAATACCATTCCGGAAACTAATTCATGAGAGTTTACAGAAAATACATATAATATTATATGTACAATTATTTGTATTTTCCGGAAGAATTATAACTATAATAATTAAAGACTTCAGGAAAATATATGAAACACAAATATAAATTACTTTCCGGAAAATAAATACAAATTCCGGATAACTCTCTGAAAATTTATAACTCTATAAAAATTAATATTTCCGGAAATAATTAATTATAGTTTCCGGAAAGTTTAGTAAAACACAATAAAAACACAATAAAAACACAAATTTTAATACATAACACACCAACAAAATACCTAGCTTGTGAGTATACAACTTAAGCTTTTATAACTTATGCATAATATAACTTATGCTTTTAAGCCAAAGTTGAGCTATCAATTTTTTAAAAAAATCTTTCAAACATCAGTTTCATACTTTATTGTACTTTCATAGAAAATATAAATTAAGATAAAATTTAAATTAAGCTTTTAAATTATTAAAAGAGTACTTTCTATTTTAAAATAATTTGTATTTCCAAGAATTATTCTAAATTTAAATGTTCTAATCTTGAAATTTTTTAAATGTAAAATAGGAAATTTTAATTATTTTTATTAAACTCTGTCATAAAAATTGTTTTAATCGAAAGTCGGGCAGCGAGGGTCTAGCTCAATTTTTTATATTTCTTTCCCAAAATGTCTATTTTAGCGCCGGAGGCGAAAATTTTGAGAATTTTAAATCAGCGGCACAAATGTAAGAACCATTTATAACTTAATGGTTGTACCGGAAAATTAAGTTTAAAAAAATTAAATAATTTTGCTGCTATAGTATTGTATTCCCTTGTTTATTCTCTTCTATGAGTTTACTTAATATACTTAAATTTATTAATTTTCTTGTTTAAATATGAAAAATAAAAAAGCGTTGGAGCTGGATATAGTCTCATTTGGAACAATTTTTGGGTTGGGGGGTTGATGGTGGACCCCCTTAAAATTTTTCGGGTAGAAAATATCTTTCTTTTAAATTACCGGAGGACCTATTTAAAATGCCCAATATTTAATAAAACTGAAATATGACTGGGCCTGACTCAGGGTTGCAGTTGGTTTTTGTTGCAAGACGTGGCTTAATTGGGAGTATGTGACAGCTCAGATTTTTAAAAATTTAATCTATAAAAGCTGATTGATTCCATAGGCTTGTTCCATAAGTAGAGTTCACAGGTTTTAACTAGGGTAGCATCCCGAGACTTTGGGGGTGGGATCGTCGGTGATCGGGGTTTGTCGTGGAAGAGCCTTCGGGGTTCGGGTCGAGGCTTTTGCCAAAAAAAAGGTTTGGGTCGGGGTTTCGAGGTGACGGGTGCTACCCTAGCTTAACAACTCTAGCTTAAAAATAAAATTTTGGCTGATCTGTGCCGGTTCACAAAATACCGTAAATATTTAATCCAGCTATGTGCCATATTTTTATTATTTCCCATAGGCTGTTTATTTCCTCATAAATCAGTCCATGTCTCTCTAATATTTTTTTCTATTAAAAATTTTTTTCACTAACTACGAAAAAATTTTTTATTAAAAAATAGCATAATTATACAATATAATTATTTTTAAAATATAAATAATTAGCATCTTAAAAGCATATTTTTACACATTTTATTTTTTCGCATAAGCACTTTTTAAAAATTTTTTTTACATCACTACCACAAGTACTTTATAGGGGTAATTTTCTTTAAAAATATGTAAAGTGCAAAAAAACAATACAGTAGTCAAGTACAAATTTTCTTTCGAAAATGTGTTTGTTTATAATTAAAAATTATGTCAAAAACGGATATTTAAAAATAAATATTAACGAGAGAATTTTTATAGTAATTTGGCGAGAAAGGGTTTTTGTGCGTGTAGCTAGAGCTGAGTAAATTTTAAATAATATACCGTATTTCCTCTAATACAGCCCCATGGGGCTCTAGTTTTTAACTATCCTCCAAAATGGGGCTGTATTAGAGTGTAGGGCATTAATTAAGGGTGGGCTCCAATTGAGTGTGGGGCTCTAAATGAGGGTAGGGCTCTAAATGATGGTAGGGCATTAATTAAGGGTTGGGCTCTATTTGAAGAAATATGGTAGGTAAATTGATGAGTTTGATGAGTTATAGTGGGAGGCTAATACGAACCCAGCAAAACGAAAAATCCTAAGCTAAACCCAAGCTAGCGTATTGGTTACAAAATATCAAACAGTTAAGAAAGTATGGTTCCAAAAATTTTAGATTTCAACAGCTTAAAATCGTAACTGCTGTTTAATGTCTCGTTTTTT